TTGTGATTGGATCATTGACGACCCACGAGATGCAAACCTCGTGGTATTACCTCCGATTGTGGAAGATAAACGCAAAACCGGTAGACCCAAACAAAATCGGTTTCCAGGCCCCAGCGAACCGCGGACAAAGCGTTCAAGAAGGACATTTCATAAATAATATGATTGTATGATTTCATGTAATTCTCGTGACCCATGTGATTGTATACATTTCCAGAAGGACATCTATTTGGATAAGGTGATTTTCTTTGTACTAGTACCGTGTTAAAGTCTTGAATAGATAGAAAAAAGTTTTGAACTGTGTGATCCATGTGACTCACCCGTGACCCATGTGACCCGAAGACATTTTTACACTGTGTGACCCATGTGACCCATGTGACCCGTGACTCAGTGGCACTTATAAAACACGGTCAAATCTCGATTTTAAAGTGTTAAAATGGGTTATATGATGTTTTACAATGATAATATGGTATCTGCAAGTTAAATTCGTTAACATAAGTAAGAGTTATATGAACATTAGTACAATTTGTTCATAAGTTGTCATGAAACACTAGTATCACTTATGGATTACATTTGCATGAGTGACTTGAATATGAAAATTGAAACGAACATGATTTTAAAGTTGTTATTGATGTTAAAATCCATGATTAATCACTGCATAATCATGCCAAGTCACTAATTCGATAAATTCGACCCATGTGACCCATGTGACTCACCCGTGACCCGTGACCCACGTGACCCGTGTGACCCGTGACTCATTGGACTTATGTTTTTTTCTTTCTCATTTCCAAGTAAAAGTAAAATCCAAAATACGAAAGAGTTTACAAAAACTGAGTCTACAAACTACGAAAGAGTTCACAATAAATAACGGGTCAGTTCACAATTTTACCATTACAAAATATATCGATAGCCAATTTTTCACGGATCAGTGGTATGGTCCCATTGCATATCGACGTGAATTATGTTCCCTTGTTCAACATTATTCCCTCCACAAATTTTGCAGCATAGACATCGGAATCAGAACCTGTTGCATTTTCATGAAGCCCAATCTTGTACTGAACCTCAAGCAAATCTCCTTTACAGAACAATTTCGTCTTAGCAAGGACGTATGCATGCGGTATGAGATGAGCTAACTTCTGAACAATCTTATCCACATTCTCTCGCAGTCTCGGTTGGCAGTTGTATACTTTAAGTACTTTGTCCCTGATATCCACTTTAATGGCGACCCTATGATAGAGAATCTTGGGGTCTACGGGTGAAGGGATGTTCACAACAGTTAGAAGAACATCATATTTCTGCAACGGCTTACGTACACCTCTAACTGAACGTTTTCCGGAGAAGTATTTCTCAAGATAACCCAGCTTGGACAGGTCCCCACTCTCTTCCCACCGCATGATGGTCTCCGAGAAGTATAGATCACATATGCAACAGTTAGAGATCACAGTTTTACCGGAGTACTTCGAATAGTTGCACCGAAACGCACACATTGCCTCTTCTATATGTTGTCAAAGAAAAACAAAAACATGTTAGAGATGACCCGTGTGACACGTGACCTATTTAATGGTGCCTTACCTCATCTGTCAGCCATTTCCCGCCCTCCAAAATAGTTTCAAAAAACTTTGAATTTCTAGTTGCATTCAAATTAGACTTCCATAGCCTTTTCTCTCGGGACATATTCATAAATTTCCAAAGAATGCTCGCTTTTAGAGTGAACGATGAAAGAAAGGATGTCGTCCTTTCGAGGTTGTCACCATTAACTCCTTCAGGTTGCCAGACAAAGTATGCAACCTCATATTCTTCGCCTTCTGATTCCGGTTTATTTGGTTCTTCATGTTGTTATGTACCCCTGCTACTTCCTCTGCTCCTTCCTCTCTCCCCCTTCCCATTCTTCCTCTACCTCTGACAAGTGTCTTGCAACGTTTATTCTTTGCAGGGGGTTCACTCGATTCTGATTCAACATATGGACTTCTTTTTGTCGGTCCTTGTCTTTGTTTTCTTTTCAAAGGAAATCTGAGTGGTGAAGTTTCAGAGCTAGAGTTACATTCTGCTTGAGGGACTTCCTTTGGGGTTTCAGATGGGACTGCTTGAGGGACTTCCTTTAGGGTTTCAGATGGGGTTATGTCATCCTCGCCTTCTATTGGGGTTTCAGAAGGTTTTGGGAGATTCAAATCAACAATCCCAGCCTCTAAACCCTCCTCACAAGCTTGAGGGAGATCCACATCAACATTTTCACCCTTAGAACTCTCGTCACAAGCCTGAGGCAGATCCACATCAGTATTCCCACCCTTAGAACCCTCGTCACAAGCTTAAGGGATATCCACATCAGCATTGTCAGCCTTAGAACCCTGCTCAGAAGCTTGAGGGAGATCCACATCATCATTCGTAGCCTTGTCACCTTTCTCAACAGTTTCACGGTGATCCACATCAACATTCCCAGTTTGAGGGACATCCATAAAAACATCCGCTCCTCCAGCATGGTCTTTAGAAGTTGCAGTGTCCCCCCACACTTCATCATTCCTAGGTTCCACTCTATACGAATAGTTCGCAGAGAAATGACCAGACTGTTTCAGAATATCTTTCAGACACGCAATTAACCTCGTCTTAGAAGCTTGGATCTCTTGACCCATGTGATCAATGATCCTGGCCTCGGATGCTTTGATCTCCTGCTTAATGAACTTCTTTAATGCATCGACTCTTGAAACTGCCGATCCTCGCATTCTTGGAGGTTCACCCTCAATCTGAGTCTCTTCTTCTGGAACTTCTTCTTGTTCTTCTTCTACTTCTTCATCATCATCTTCTTCAACTATCTTAGCTTTTTCCTTTTTCAAACAAGCTCTGCATCGGGCATCAAGCTCACGGATGCTATCCCAACAGATGCTTTGCGGATTTAACTGCAAATGTTGCATCCATACACTGATCTTTGGATCACTACTTCCCTTGTAATCCTCCAGATCATACAGAAGTGCTTCTTCATCCTTTCCCACTTGTAGAATACTTTTAATACCCTGAAATAAAAAAAATGTTACTTTTGACCCGTGTGACCCATGTGACTCATGTGACCCGTGAGCCAAGTGACCCATGTGACCCGTGACCCATGTGACCCATGTGACCCGTGACACGTGACCAGTGACCGGTACCTGTGATTCAATTCCAATCTTTTCCATTACAGCAGGGAAGGTCCATCTAAGCCCGAGTTTGATTACTCTCTTGCACATTCTAGGACAGTTTGGGTCTGCACCTGAAACATCTGTGTACCACCCGTTGGCACCCAAGCTTTCAATGCACTCAAAAGGCAGCAACTGCAACATAAAAAAGCTAATTAAATCAATCCAACTTCCAAATAATTTCATCGTAATTTAATAAATAACTTACCATCAGAGGGATTATAAACCTCGGGCAATGCCATTTTGTCTTTGGTTTCGCACCGAGACTCTTTCGCACTTGATCAACTATTCGATCAAAAGTGTATCGACCCCACGTAAATCGTTCACAGAAACGTAAATCATCAACCATGTCGAACAAATCATGGCTGATTTGTTCAGATGACGGGGCATGATCCAAGATTCCGGCCATCAAGCATATAATAGCCAATCTCTTACGATCTGCTGCCCTCTGGGTTGGCATATATCTCAATTTCTCCACCACATCATTCAAACAAACCTTCTTACGTCCGAAAGTCTTTTTCCTGAACTCACTCTTTTTGAAGCTCTCCCATTCTTCTGGATATTTTCCACACTTCAAACCACATATAAGTGCGTGCTCAATGATTGAGTACCTCACGGGCACACCATTGAGTACGAACCACAATTCCTTCTCGTCTTCCGCTTTAACAGAGCGGTTAATGAGAACTCCCGCAGGCGCCATCTTTAACTGTGGATCCCATTGCGCGTGGAATAGATGTTGGAACTGTGATTCTTTCTCGAAGTACGTCCATTCATCCTCTGTCAGTACTTCTTTAAGCGTCTTCAGTGTCTCATAGGGATAACACTTCGTATTGATCTTCGAAGAAAACTGAATGTCTTCGAATTTGTAGACAAATGGAAGCTCCAAAATGAAATAATTATTCGTCATTGTGATCTTTGTGACCTGGGACCTGAGACCCATGACTCATGTGATCCGTGACCCGTGACCCGTGACCCGTGACCCGTGTGACTCGTGTGCGGTGTTGTGAGTTATATTATACTATTACCATATAAATCTCTGTGACCCATATGACCTGTGACCCACATGACCTTGCGTCTTAGAAAATCATTAAACTTGTCAAGGTATTCCGAAAATCCCACACCCACACTCTAACTTTCTATTTCGAATTCCTAAAACCCAAATTATATATTTCAAAACACAAAACCCTAACTTTATATTCAGAAATCCCAAAACTTTAATTTTCAATTTCGAAATCCCTAAACCCTAAATTCCTATTTTGAAATCCAAAATCATCCAACAAGTTTAATGATTTTACTCCAGGATCAGGTCATACAAGAAAAAAACGGAGAAGAAGATGTAGACAAACCTACCGTTTCTAATGGGAGATCTTTGTCCGACGATGAAGGCGATGAACTGGCATGAGACGCAGATGAAGACGAAGCAGAAGGCACATGTGTTCTTGGATCCATGGGTGTTTGATTTTTCACACAAATCACAAGAGAGATACCGAAATTGCAAGGAAAATGGCCTCAATTTTCTGAAAAACCCGAAAGAGAAATCGCGCAAGAGAGAGAGAGAGTTTTCGAAATGCTGCAAGAGAGAGAGAGATCGTGTTGCACGAGAGAGTGGGAGTTTACAGAGGGAGAGAGAGCGTTTTTTTTTAATTCTTAAAAAGTTAGCCGTTTTTTAATCGAAAAGGTATGGTCCTTTTCGTCTTTCATTTAAAATTCAGGGATATATATGTCTTTAACTCATTTCACCTTTTATTTTTTTTAGATTTATTTTTTGGAGGGTACTCCATGAAATAAGGGTAGCATTTTAAGTACATTTCTGCTATATTCCCCTTTCAATCCATCCCGAGGAATCAAATGGAAGTTATACCTACAAAACCCACATTAAAACCAAAACCTAATCGACATATTCTGATGCAAAAAACTAAATCCACGAAGCTAGAAATCCAAATTCCGTACGGGTTAACGGTAAGTTTGGAACCACGAATCGTGAAAAGGCACGTAGCGCGAACTGGAGGGTCTGGTAGCGTTCGGCGGCATGTCTAACCTTCAAGTAAGCAGCCTCCGGAGGAGCGTCCATGGCGTTGACAATGTACCACGCGGCAGATTAGGAGCCGGTGTTTTTGCAGCGAGACGGCGACAAAGTCTGACGAATCGATAGAAATGCGAATTTCCTCTATGGTGGCTTGGAAGTTCGACTTCTTCGCCTGTTTAATACACCATTTCCGGTGATTTAGGGTTTTCCTTCCGGCGGAGGCGGCGAATTAAAGAAATCGCTCCGCTTTTTTACGACGGCGGAAAACGACTATTTCAAGTGATCAAATAAAGCCGAGACGCAGTTGATGCGTTTAAAAGAAGAACAGAAGTCGTCTGTTCGTCTAAAGCAAAAACGGCAAGACGTCCGTAAAACCAGAACCAGAACACGCAACATTTCTCTATATCTTTCACAGAAGAACCATAACACACCAATACTGTTAAATGCAATGTTTGAAGCTTAAAACACATACTTCTTTTATTTATATACTCAAAGACTTAACAGTACAGAAACATACGATGAAGATGAAACCATTGAACAACTTCTGACAGAACAGAACATGAATCTTTATGGGTTTCATCATATCTTTTCTCCTGCAAGAAACCGGCTATAGAAATCCAACGACTCGCGAGGCTTGTACTCGGGAACTGTATGCCCTGCACCCTGCAAACCCTCGGGTTTTCGCCGTAAAAAGAACCATCAGAAAAGGCATAACACGCCTTTTTTTTCAAGAACTCAGTGAAAAAAGTATATATGTTTAAAATAGAGTATTCAATCTTTTTGCTTGCCTTGATAGTTAGAAACGTGAGATTGTTCGCATATCCTTGTGTATACCTGCAATGTGTGTAGAAAATTGCAGTAAAGATGAGATTTTGGACACGGAAATGTCGCTTCAAGAACGAAAATACGCTTTTGTTCAGCAAGAAACGATATTTGCGAAACAAAATTACCCGGCTACTTGATCATTTGATATCCATGCCCTCCATTCATCTGTGACATTGTATCCGAGAGAACGTGTCCATGCTTCAGAACCGGTATATGGAATACACATATCATGATCTCCGCTGCACAGAAAATCAGATTTAGCGAATGTTATGGAAGCTCCAGTTCCTTTTCCGAGTTCAAGATGTGATTTTACCTGTAAATGAGAGCTCGGTATCCGCCAAGAGTGAGCTTTCTATGGAGAAAGAGCATGCTTCCATAGTCATGTACATATCTGAGTTTCGATGTGCAGAGCATCCAGCTTCCGATCTCACTGACCTGTCGATTTTCTCGGGCAAATTTCACAATCTCGTTAAACGTTACATGTTCAAGAACTTGAACACGATAACACAATCAAATGGACCGACCTCTTTGGCATGAACTGCTTTCCTGACCGCTGGATCGTCCAACCATATCGTTGCTACTCTGTCGTCCTGCCAAAAAACGTCGTGTTTTTTCGGCGGATAATGAGTTTCGGCTGGCGAAAACAAATAGGGCAGATCGTTTGTTACTTACGGTGCAAGGGGTATAGATGTTTTCGAGGAGTTGAGGCCAATTTGGGACGAGGCCTGGAAGTACAGGCGCGCGTAGAGGCCAAGCACGACCGAACATTCTCTTTCTCACAGCCAATTGCCTTTTAGTTTTGCCCAAATCAAGGAAACTAGATGGCAAATTGACATCGGACGCTGAAAGGGACGTTGTCCCGTGGTAGCACGGCTCGAGAATGTTGTATACGTTCAATTTTGCGATGTCCTGAGCGAGAAAAAGTTCAGAAAAATGTCAAAACGTGATATGTAAACCGATACCTGAAGGTTTCGAATTCATTTACCTCGTCGACTTTAGCCAGTTTTTCGTCGCATTTAGGTCCATTCGAGCTATAGAACGTTCCTTGGCACACAGCTGTAGCCTCCTGAAAATTACTCATTCTGCGTTACAAAAAAGACTGAAAAAAGAAATATCGGGAAAGCGAGCGTTACGAACCTTGAAGAGGTCATCCGAGATTAGTCCCATCCCGTGTGCGAACGGGACTAAAGCGTTCCCGTCATAAATCGGGTCTGCAGCTCCGTTGCCGATCAAATATCCCTAAACATTAGACATCCAGATTTCCAATTCAGATTGTCTTTGGTTAAAGAAACTCATAAAGCGTGAAACTTTTCAAACAGAGAGGTGAAAACTAAATCAGAACCAACAAAAGAACTGGATCTGAAGTTGTCCTAACCTTGAAGTTGATAACCGGTTTTACGCCATCCTTAATACCTAAAGAGGAATCGATATAACGGTTAGAAAGATTCAAGAATCGATGTTTTTCGGTTTATATCAGATACCCGAAGAAGAGAAAAGATGCAGATAAAACGATATTCTGATCATACCATTGACGACTTCAGAAGCGAGCGTCGGCACATAGATTCCAGCGTAGGATTCTCCCGAGATGTAGAACGGATTCGATTGAAACTCCGGAAACATTCGGAACCACTGTTGAAAAAGAGAAATTTGTCAGTTTCGAAGCGAACAAGGAAAGGGTGATTCAGGAAACTATACGTTCTTATACTTAACCTTGAGAAGAAACGCATGAGCGTCAATGGCAGTCTGCGTATCATTTGTGGAATAATCAGATTTGGTCTCCGAGTATGAAAACCCAACACCTGCAGGTGAATCCAGGTATATGATGTTGGAAACCTGACAGAGAACGGAACTAGAGCGTTAGAACAGTGAAAACCGGCATGTTATTCTGTTCATCGATCAGTGACCGGAAGAACCAAACTTTTCTTTTTACCTTGGACCAGCTGTAAGGATTGAGCCGTAACTGTGGCAAACTGCCGTCTGTTTTTGCTTGTTTGAAATCAAAAGGACCTGAAAATTATCGAAAACCAGGTTGGATTGTGAAATCTAATCTCGAAAAACAGCGGAAAACTAACCGAGATATCTTACTTTGGACACAAGAAAGCGAGAAAAACGCGGTATTTTACCATGTTCGTAGACAAAGCCATCCATGCTCGAGCAACCTGGACCGCCGTTGAGCCAAAGCACGACAGGATCCTCGGCCGGATCCTTCTCGGATTCCGCAAAGTAATACCATAGATTCTTGTCACGTTTCTCATCGATCGTCACGTACCTTTGGTGGAAAAAAAAAGGTTATAACTTTTCAGAACCCATAAAAAACAAAGAACTGATGCCGAAACTAGGAACAAAACCCAGAATCAAAACGCGAAAAAAGACGAGTTTTATCACGAGAATACGATCGATCGGAACAATTTACCCGGCGTAGTGTTTGGAAGGAAGAGTGCCATTGAAGCCAGGAAGTGTGGTGACAAGAGCAGATTCTGGAGCTGAATGTGTTATTACAACAGCCAAAAACAACGTCAGAGCAACTGCAGAAGCTTCCACAAAACGACCCATTCTCAAGAACAATGACAGAAAAGAAGATCAGAACTTTTGTAAGAACTGTGGTGTTACAGCTTTGTATTTATGCAGAACCCACGTGTGTTATTGAAACAAACAGATGTGAAAAAAAATCTTGAAATGATTAAAAACCTTTAATGATTCTCAGATTCACCATATATTATTGGCAGATTTCTTTTTTTTCCTTTCAAAGACAAAGAGCCGAACTTGGAAAATGATAGACTTGGAGAGGGTTTTGGTATTTTGCCACCTTTTATATCGGGTTTTAATTACGTTAGTGGGTTGGGTACTAACCCTAGGGCTGGCCTATATAAACACGCATATATACACACACACTAAGTACATCAGTGTATCTATCGTATGTTTGGTTTTTTAAAGTGGCGTCTTGACCAATAATATGCATTTTACGGCAAAGAAATAGATGGCTTTTTCTTTAAATCAAGTCGTTTGCTCGAAATAGGCTGGTTTATCCGTCCTAATTATTAATTTTATTTATTTCATTTATTTTTAAAATTTGTTCACGGAATTGTAATGACAATTTCTGTCGAAAATTCTAATTTCATTTATTTTCGTTATTTTTTTTATAAAAAATTTAATTTTTGTGATTTTTATTTAGTTTAGCGATAGATTGTGACGTAATTTTTATCGTAAATTCTAATTTTATTTATTTTCGTTAGTTTTTATATAAAAAGAATTGAATTTTTGTGATTTTATTTCGTTTAGCGATAGATTGCGACGTAATTTTCATCGCAAATTCTAATTTTATTTATTTTCGTTAGTTTCGATAAAATATTTTAAATTTTCGCGATTTTTATTTCATTTTAACACTAAATAAAAGCTTCTTCCTCCTTCAAATTTTAAAATTTTGAGAAAAAAATCTCAATCTTCTCCAATAGTCTCGAATCGTTGTTTTTTTAAAAAATTTATCAAGGTACGTGTATATATATGTCGTGTATGTTTGTGTATGAGTGTGAATATATATATATATATGTGTATGTATAGATTATGTGTATATTTTGTGTGTATGTGTATTTTGTATATATATATGTATGTATGTATGTATGTATATATGTATGTATGTGTGGGAATGTGTATATGAATGTGTATGTGTATGTGTATGTGCTTGTTTATGTATATGTATAATGTATATGTGAATGTGATTAGATCGAAAATCCGGTAAACTCCAAGTTAAAAAAAACACATACGTGTTGTTCAATATAATGAATTATTATTAATTAAGGCAATGATGTGGCATGGGGTTTCTTCATATCTTTTCTCCGGCAAGGAATCTGCTATAGAAGGACAACGACTCTCGCGGCTTGTACTCGGGAACTGTATGCCCCGCCCCCTGCAATTAAATAAAAAAAAATGTATATTTAAAATTTAAATGAGAGATTTCTCTTGTTTTATTTCGGTTACGTACCTTGATGGTTAGAAACGTGAGATTGTTGGAATATCCTTGGATATACCTGCAACAACGGGGTGGCAAATATTATTCAAATAAAATATGATCCATTTTTGTTACAAAATTAAACATAATTGTGTGTCGTGTTGGCCGTATATATATATATACACGTGGAAAATAATAATGCATATGCCACGTTTGAAATGCATTTTCATAAATAATTCAAACCTTTCCATTTCTAAATCTTTTTTTTTCTCTTTGTTTTTTTTCTCTCCTTTCATAAGAAATTAATATAAATACTTTAAAATCTTCCAAGTTACTCTCTTTTTTTTTGTAAGAGTTTACTCTATTACCTTCGTAATACAAATTGCAAATAGATTAGAGATTCTTATACCTTTTGAATTTGTTATTGTTATTATGTTATTATTATTATTATTATTGTCATTATTATTATTATTATTATTATCATACCCGGCCACCTGGTCGTCCAACATCCACGGCCTCCATCCATCCGTGACATTGTATCCGAGAGACCTCGTCCATGCCTCCGTACCAGTATACGGAACACACATATCGTGATCTCCGCTGCACCGGAAAAAAAAAAACTCGAATTTCAAAAGATCGCGAGCGAGCGAGAAACAACGACGATAGTGACGGAAATTCCCGAGTTTTCGTTCGAGTTGTGAACACGATTCTTTTACCTGTATATGAGGGCTCGGTATCCGCCGAGGGTGAGGTTTCTATGGAGATTGAGCATGCTTCCCCTATCGTGCATGTAATTGATCTTTTGCGTGCAGAGCTCCCAGCCTCCGATCTCGCTATCCTGCCATGTTTTTCTCTCGCGATGTCACGTTAAAACGTTCGTTATATCTCTCGAGAACGCGTGCGATTGAACATACCTCTTTGGCGTGAACCGCTTTCCTGACCGATGGATCGTCCAACCACGCCGTCGCCACTCTATCGTCCTGTGGATAATGTCGGGTTTTTTTAGGGGATAACGAGTTTCGGCTGGCGAAAACGAAGAGGGCGGGGTGGATAGTCCGTTATACTTACGACGCACGGGACAGACATGGTTTTGGAGAGCTGAGGCCAATTCGGGACGGGGCCTGGAAGCACCGACGCGCGCAGAGGCCAAGCGCGACCGAACATTCTCTTCCTCACGGCCAATGGCCGATCGGTTTTGCCCAAACCGAGGAAACTGGAGGGCAGATCGACGTCGGACGTGGAAAGGGATGCATTCGGTGCGTGGTAGCACGGCTCGAGGATGTTGTAAATGTTCAGTTTTGATATTAGCTGAGGAACAAAGATTCGGTTGTGAAAAAAAAAACGTCGAAAAACACATTCTTTAGACCGATGGATCGATAAGCGGAAGCTTTTCGGATTCGCGTGTTGTACCAAGTTAACTTTCCATAATTGGCTGAGACATTTCCCGTCTTTCGGCCGAGAGAAATTTCCGTCGCACGCAGCAGTAACCGTCTGAAAATTGCTCATTATAGACATCAGACCCAAGAAGTTAGGACAATAAAACGTCGGGGAAAACGAGCGTTTTACTGACCTTGAAGAGCTTGTCCGGGATCAGCCCCATCCCGTGCGCAAACGGGACTAAAGCGTTACCGTCATAATCCTGATCTGCAACTCCATTACCGATCAAATATCCCTGAAAACATCCGTAGAGCAGGGGACTTTTAAAGGGCTTTTTTTGAAATGGTGAAACTAAAATCAGAACCAAACACAACTGGACTAAAGCTGTCCTAACCTTGAAGTTAATAACCGGCTTTACGCTTCCCTTAATACCTGAAAAACGAATCGATATAAACAGGCAGAAGATTCGGGTAATGTCAGATAAAGATGCATATAGAAAGATACTATGATCATATATATACCATTGACAACTTCAGAAGCGAGCGTAGGCACATAGATTCCAGCGAAGGATTCTCCCGAGATGAAGAACGGATTCGATTGAAACTCGGGAAACGTTTCGAACCACTGTTTATAGCGATCACATCGTTAGTTTTTGAAGCAAACAAGAAAAGGGTCTTTCTGAAAACTACACATTCTTTTACTAAACCTTGAGAAGAAACGCATGAGTGTCGATGGCGGTCTGTGTATCATTTGTGGAATAATCAGATTCGTCCTTCGAGTAAGAAAATCCGACACCTGCAGGTGAATCCAGGTATATAATGTTGGAAACCTGACAGAGAACGGAATTAGAGCGTTAGAACAGCGAAAACCGACATGTTATTGTGTTCATCGATCATTGATAGAAAGAATCAGAACTGTTTGTTTTAACCTTGGACCAGCTGTAAGGATTGAGCCTCAACTGAGGCAAACTGCCGTCTGTTTTTGCCGGTTCGAAATTGAAAGGACCTGAAAATCATCAAAAACCAAGTTGGATTGTGCAATCTAATCTCGAAAAACAGCGGGAAACCAGCCAAGAGATCTTACTTTGGACACAAGAAAGCGAGAAAAGGGTGGTGTTTACCGTGTTCGTAGACAAATCCATCCATGCTCGAGCAACCTGGACCACCGTTGAGCCAAAGCACGACAGGATCCTCGGCCGGATCCTTCTCGGATTCTGCAAAGTAATACCATAGATTCTTGTCACCTTTCTCACCGATCGTCACGTACCTTTGGTGAAAAAAAAAGGTTAAAACTTTTCAGAACCCATCAAAAACAAAGAACTGATGCCGAAACTAGGAACAAAACCCAGAATCAAAACGCGAAAAAAGACGAGTTTTGTCTCGAGAATACGATCGAACGGATCAATCTTACCCGGCGTAGTGTTTGGAAGGAAGAGTGCCATTGAAGCCAGGAAGTGTGGTGACAAGAGCAGATTCTGGAGCTGAATGTGTTATTAAAACAGCCAAAGACAATATCAAAGCAACTGCAGAAGCTTCCACAAACCGACCCATTCTCTCACAAAAAAAAAAAACAGAACGAAGGATAACACAGAAGAAAACCTCGTAAGGACGGTGGTGTAATGGATTTCGTATTTGTACGGAAGAGATGCGGAAATAAGAAGAATATCTTGATGATTTGCACATGCATGCCACGGATTATTATTGCAGATTCTTTGCAAAACGAAAAGATCTGAACTTGGAAACTTCTAATGACAAAATCGGAATGTGTATTTTTTTTTTGGTAAATGAATGTTATTTTTTTTATCCATTATATAGACTATTTGGATATTTTGGATTTTACTTTGGTTTTATTTTAATTTTCTTTGATTTCATAAATAAATTATACGTGTCAGATATTTTGGTTAGTTTTGGATTAGGCTCGAAATAGATCTGAACTTGGAAACTTCTAATGACAAAATCGGAATGTGTATTTTTTTTTTGGTAAATGAATGTTATTTTTTTTATCCATTATATAGACTATTTGGATATTTTGGATTTTACTTTGGTTTTATTTTAATTTTCTTTGATTTCATAAATAAATTATACGTGTCAGATATTTTGGTTAGTTTTGGATTAGGCTCGAAATAATTTTTTTGCTAAAAAATATTTATTTTCAAATTCAATTTTCATTTCCAATTTTTCATATCACAATTCGTATTCAATTCATTTGATTCATAAAATGTGATTACCTATGAATTCACGGTAATTTTAGTTTGTTTTTTTTCAAGTTAAGATCAATATTCACTAAATATCCAAATAAAATCAAATTTTACATTATGATGATATCCTTCATATCTCTACATAATCTTCTATGGTAATTTTTTTTTAAAACTTCTCTATACGTCTTGATTATACATGGATATAAATTGGGATTGAAGGTAGAGTTGTTAGGATAAAGAAATCAGCGTGAAATATTCCAAGAAAACAATCGGTTATATTAAATTGGGGTATCTAGAAAATATGTTTTTTGACATAAATCTCTTTATTACCAAAAATAAAATTTATTAATAAAATTGTAAATAAATATAAAGAAAATGTTATTTTTTTTTAATGAATTGGATATTCGAATACTAAAAAAATGAGAAATACGATTAAAAATCCGGGAATAACACATTTACCATTAACTCCAATCTAAATTTGATATTGGACTCGGATTTTTGAGTTAATTTTGTGCAATCGAATAGAAAAAAAAAATAATATTAGAGAGGGAGAGAGCAACAACACCAATAATAGAATTAATAGGCAAATGCCCAATTGGGAAGACAAAATCATAACAACAATCAAATCCCACAACCTTCAATTCACATGGAATGTCCCTTTTTTTCCCTCATTAATTCACCATTCAAAAAACCATCTATAAGAAAAATAACACTAAGTATTGCTACACATGGATGAATATGATAAAACAATTTTTTTTTGTGTTTTTCTCTATGTTTTTTTTTACTTGTAGAAAGGGGAAAACAAAGAAGTATCTTAAAATGGGTAATTAAATATTAGGAAATTTTTTTAAATAAATATATAAAATTTTTCAAATCTTATCAATAAATATATGAAAATTTTATCTCTCAAAAGAATGTATCAATTTACAATTTTTTTTTTCAAATTTCTAAATAAATTCTGACTGTGTTAACTGTGTAAATGTTTATGGTAAACAGTGTTGATATGGTTAGACGGATTTTTCATATCAACTTCACATGATAAAATTGTTTCGTATCATTAAAAAAAGGAATAATAAATAATAAAGCAAAAACAAAAATTTGCCACATGGAATTGACGTTGAAAATCCAGTGAATCATGTTAATATTGTTCGTCAGAAACATTTATATAGTTACCAATTCGTATAGAAATTTAAAAGAAAATTACAAATTAATATATTTTTAAAGATAAAAATTTATTGATAAATTTTAATAAATTCATACATCAATTTGAATTTCCAATATTATTTTTCATAAAAAAATCCATATTATGGAACGTATAACACAATAGATATTTGGCCGTGGAAACCTCATTAATTCGGTCTCATCCCGTAGACGAGATCGAGAGACAACGCCATTAAATAAATCGGTGTCCGAAACTTCTCTTCACGCCCTAGCATTGCGCGTGTGTAGTACGCATCTTCACCATCACCGCCAGCGTTGAACAGTGAAAATGCTGGGACACGTGGCGACTTACGATAGGCTGGAGTTTGGAGATTACGTGGATGAACTGTAGGTGATGATGGCCAAATGTCTTCTAAAAATGGGGCCCACACTCTCTCCCAATAATTGATTATTCTCCTAATCCCTCTGTCTTCAAGCTGGCACCGTTGTCTTCCTTCCTCCTCCTCTCTCCTATGGAGAATTCTCGTCAGCCATAGCACCATAATCTCCATCGTCGTCGTCCCTGTACGAATCATCAATAACGATTTTCAAGGTCTCTCCGATTCTTCTTCCTTCATGTTCTGACGCGAGGAAGGAAAAAAAAATACCCATCGAGGGGCGAGGGAGAATCGCCGGAGAAATGGTTCGTACCATCGGAATCGCGATCCTCCGGTTGATTTACGCCGTATTTATGATCGGAGCGGTGGTTTCGGCTTCTCCGGAGAATGCCCAGAAGCAGAAAACGGTGTACGAGGTTCTGAAGGCACATGGGTTACCGATGGGTCTGCTCCCGAAGGGGGTGAAGGAGTTTTACATGGACAAGACCGGTAGGTTCGAGGCTCATCTGGATCAAGCCTGCAACGCCAAGTTCGAGAGCGAGTTTCATTACGAGAGGAACGTGTCGGGGACACTGAGCTACGGTCAGATCGGCGAGCTGTCGGGGATCTCCGCTAAGGAGCTGTTCCTGTGGTTCCAGGTCAAGACGATCCGTGTCGATGTACCAAGCTCCGGTCTCATTTACTTCGATGTTGGAGTCGTGGACAAGCAGTTCTCTCTGTCGTTCTTCGAAACTCCACGGGAATGCGTCGCCGGCCGAGAGGCCCCGCGGGGAAATGCGAACGGAGATGGCGACATCTTCAATGGGGCAGCCGCCTCTGAGGTCTGATGCCCTCTTCAATCTGTAATGATTTCCATGGGTTGATTGGTCGAATTCCATGTTTCGATTTGATTATAGTTCTCATTTTGGCGATTGAAATCACCCTTTATGCCGCACTAGGGCTGCAGTATCTCTTCCTTAGGAAAAGTTCTTCTCTTTGAATCTCCAATGATCTGAACTCTTTTGTTTTTATGATCAACCTCAGCCTTCCAAGCTGCGGTTCGGACCCGACAGGAAAAGTTTTGTGAGGAGCTTTGTGTAGATTTGGTGTTTGGAGGATTTGGAAACGATTGCTCAATCAGCGGTCCAAAGGTTCCTTGGATGCATCTTCGGTTGTAAATGTTGCCGGAAGAATCGGGCAAGAAAGTGGTTCCAGAGCTTTGTCCAATGGTGATTGATCTGCATTATAGTGTTCTGTCATAATTTATGTTTCTGTAGAGTTTCAGAGCGAAGGGGACTAGAGAGAGAGAGAGAGGATATTTTGATGAGGCAAATCTTTGATATGTTTAATCTTTATTCATGTAAAATTTGTTTCAACTGTTGGAAAGTATCAGAAAGGAGCATTGTTCTTGACATTCTGCCTTTCTGAACCGAACCAAACAGGGCATCCGTAATAAAGGTTTTCCTCAATACGTATACGTATCTCCTGGTTCAGTCTGTGTTGTCACCAAATCCGGAAAACCTTTATTACCGAACCAAACAGGGCATCGGCGTTATCATTATGTTATCGATCCCGGTCGTTGTACAAAAATATGACCAAGTCCTGGTCGATGAATCATGAAACCAATCCGGAAAAAACTAAGATGCAGTAGAAGCAACAAGAGAACATAAAAAGGACTAAGGCTTCTTCGTCGGGGCGGCATGGCAGAGCAATTGCTAAGAACCCGAGCTGCAACCCGTCGAGGACATTCCCCAGACGTAACGTAACAATGGTGGGTGCCTAATGATCCTCTCCGCTTCATTCAATCTGAACACAATGTTCCAATAAGCAAACATACCATTCTCATTAGACACACAATTCATTTATTCAAACAAGCTCAGTTAGGGTTCCAAAGCACAACTCTTTCTTTACATTTTACATCACATGAATTCCCCAGCTCTTATGTGTCAAAAGTAAAAATCCCAACTTCACGCTCCAAACCCACCCAATATGCTCGGGTCACCGACTCACACGGTGGATAAATCATCCAAGCTGCAGAAATTTCGGGTTTACGTTTAAAGACCAAACAAAAACTTCATGACTATTGGCAAACCTGGAAAACAGGGCGGAAAGGGAAGTGCTTTCCATGATCATTTCATATTCAGTCACATCTTCAACTCCACGAGGTTTCAATCTTTTTTGTCAATACCACAATTAGATTTGCCACAACCCATATGTCAAAGGAACATAACAATGTCTTTGCCATAATTTCGTAAAAAGACAAGATTTATCATGCATTGCAATAAACAAGACAGGTCTAGTGATGCCATAGAGCAGATATGCCAAACGTATAACGAAAGATCAATAAGCTTACGTCGCTCAAACCCAGAAGCGGTCCTTCAATATCCCCTGCTGTTGTTCAGAATCGAACCTAGAGTTCCCAAAACAGCGAAAGCAAGCAACGGGCTCACGTCGAGAGTGTCGAAAACCGGAGGGATTATATTCCTGAAGAGATTCAGATAAGGATCACAGAGGTCTCTAATGGCGGACAAAGGCTGTCGATCCCATGGAATGTTCGGGAACCAACTGAGCAAAACCCTAACCATCAAAACACCACTGTATATGTCGAGCCACTTCGACAGCCCGGCGGCCACCACCGTGAGCGGCGTATTCAGGTAGCCGCTCGGCCGGTCCCGGAGGGAGGCGAAGAAAACCGGACCGACCGTTCGGAGAGAGTAATGGAGAGATTCCTGAATCTGTGGACCCAGGTTCACGATTGCGAGGGAGAGCTTATGGGCTAGGGATTTGACGACGATGGAGGCTACGAGAGCGAGAGTGGTGATCGACCGCGTCGAATCGCTCAGCGGGAACCGAATTCGGGACTGTGAGCACCGCGAAGACGCAGTCGGAGATGAGGAAGAGGCGGCGGAGGCGACGATACTAGGGTTTCTGACGGAGAGGGAGAGGTAGGGTTTTGGCATGTGACAGAAGGTCAGATTTCGGTGGCTGGGGAGTGATCCGGAGTAGAGAAAACGGTTGTCGAGGAAGATCGGGCCGCGAAGACTGAGGCTGTTGGTGATGGAAGCCATCGTCGTTGATTTCTATGGCGGCGGAGAATTCGCCAGAAGAAATTCTCGGGAAACAAACAGGGGTGACAGGAGGAGGTAACGAGAACCTTAGCACCAATCGCTTGAATGCACGGTTATAATGACGTATTAGATTCTTTTGTGAAAACAAAATCTATTTGTTTTATAAATACTTGTATACTGTGATGTTTAAGGATTGAATCCATGAAGTTTTTAGAGTTGCGATAATTCAATTTTTTTTTTAAAACAAAATTAACAATAAAGATTTTGTAAAATTAGTTAAAAAATCAATTAAAAACTACAAATTTAATTTTTTTACATTTACATATATTATAAAAACAAAAAATCAAAAACTTCACTGATTTACAAATATTATAAAAATAAAAATAAAAAGTAAAATCCAAAATCCAAAAACTTCAAATAAAAACTATCATCGTGTCTTAACTATGGTAATGCGTAAATACTAAATATAAACACGTACTTATTCATAATTTATTTCATAAATATTTAAAATCAGATTTATTTCATTTATTTGCTCGAATTCAGTCCACCTTTTCCACTCAGAAAATTTACAATATATATATATATATATATATATATAATGTATGTGATTGTTTCCATGATTTTCATATTCTATCGAAAATTATATAATTTTCTTACATGTTTTAACCAGAACCGTCAAACGCGCAAATCAACATCCAAATCGGCTCGATAACCGATCAAACCAACCAACATACCCAATCATAACCGATTAGATATTGAAAGATATAAAAACAAATGGCAAAAGCACAGCATGTGGATGTGCAACTTGAAGTTGAAACTCAAACCAAACACACACACAATTTAGTTTTGTAATTTGATTAATCATAAGATCAAATGAAAGATTATTTTTTTTGAGAAAATGGAGGTGTAAGGAAAAGACAGTCCAACCCCCATATCCCTAAATAAAAGATGGTTTGGTTGGTTAGTTAGGAGGAAAAAAAATTAAAATGTTAATATATATATCTTTTAATTAATACCCAATAGTATATGGTATAAAATAAAGAGTACAGACTATCCTTGTCACATGGGAATCTGTACATTTTTTATCATTAACATGTTCGATGTGAATGAAGTCTAATGTTTCAAGGGCTGATTAAACAAAAACAATTTTTTTTAAAAAAACAATTTGGTGATTCATTTAAGGAGAGGAACCGATAGAAAATTTATATTATATTATATATATATATTTTTAACTGAAACAAGAAGAGCTAAGGAACAAAAAAACCAAAGCTCCAAAGACAAAAGAACAGTTAGGTTTTAGTTACACATGTATTTCTATACAAAGACGGCTCCAATGGCAAAGAATACAATTAGACAAATCCAAGACCAGAAGAAAGCCTTCACTAGACACAGCAACAAACATTCTTCAGTCTTCCAAATCACCCGAGACCGAGCTATCGATCCTCTGATCGGTAAGATCTCTGAAAAAATCCGGAAAAAACTCGAGATTTCGGATCAGACATACCCATTTTACAGATTGAATCTTCTGGAAGTTAGTCGATTACCAGGTTTTGATCTGAACCCAAAAACCTCATGCCCCAAGAGGATTGGTGGATTTGCTCGATTTTCTCTTCAAGACGACGACCCATGTAAACGCTTCTAGGAGCAATGCAATGCCTCCCAAACCGGAGATCACAACAATGTAAGCAGTCTTGTAACTGGTTTGCGGGTTCAAGATGGCTAGACCTTTGAAGACATTGAAGATTCCGAGGATCAAGATCGAATATCCGATCCCGTGGTGGTAGATGTTCCAGTAGAATCTGTACTTGTGATCCTTCTTTGGTCTCAGCAGCAATGCAAACATCTTTAACACAGACAAAAGGGATCATCTTGGTGGTCAGAAGAGAAGAATTCATTCAATACCAAGAAGAATAGAACAGAAAACCCGGTTTTTCATGGCTCAAGTCACAATCCTGAGATCCTAAACACAGGACTTATGTTTGAAAAAGCTTTGATCTGGTATTGGCGAACATGTGCTTCAAAGGTAAAGCATAACATCTATACCTGAAACAGAGAATCTTTTCTGACAAGTAATGGAATCGATAGATACCTGAATGGTGGCGAGGGCGAAGAGGGCTATGCCGTTGTTGCGATGGCTGGTATACTGAATTCCCTTGGATTCGCTACCGAGCTTGAGACCGGTAGCCCAACCCGCAACGCCAATGACATAAGCGGACAACTGACAAAGGACATGGAGGTAAAACCAGGCAGGATCTGCAGATTCAAACGTTCTCATGTACCTAGCGATTATGATCCCAACTGGAAACAGAAATCCCCAGCTCACCGTGTTCAGAATTCCATGAATCTGCGAATTCATCAAAAAAAGAAAAATCACCCATCAGATTAACGACGAGACCCAGATGGAAAAACGTTTCCTTTGGGATAAACTCCTCCAAGATTCTGCATTTATGAAGAATTTGGGAAGAGGGTAATCTGAAATTCCATGAAAAGTGGAACTTTCCAGATTTCAGAGTTTAAAAATGATGGAAATGCTATGTTTGTAGTCAGAGGAGGCATTAACGAAAAAACCCAGATAGAAAACCGTCTTCTTTTCAACAAAATTCTGCATTTTGAAGAAATCGGGGTTGGAGAAATCTGCAAAATTTGTAACTTTTGATTCCTTTTCCAGATTTCAGGCCCTGAAATCTTTGGAATTTTGATGGTTGTAAGTCAAAAGAGGCTAAAATTGGAAACTTACGTTCCTATTCCTAACCCTGGAATCACCCTGGCCTCCTCCTCCGCCGCCGGCGACAGCACCGTTGTCGGCTCCTGACAAATCCAGCGTCCCCATCGCATTCAGATTCGACGCATCGAAACCGTGCTGCTGAATAAACCCTGTCGGACTCACTCCGGGACCCACCTGCCAAACCTGGTTTACCTTCCTCTTCGCCGCCAAATCCGCCGGAATCTTCACCTTAGCGAAGATCCTCAACGCTCCACCGCCGTCTTCCTCCGCCTTGGTGTCCCAAACGTCAAAAGCCAATTTCCCAGGAACCAACACAGCGTAAGAGCTGATGTTGAGGGTCTTCACGACGGCGACGGCGGACTTTGGGTCCTTGAACGCGACGATGGATTGCGCTCCGGACATTCCCTCCGCCGTGGGATTGATGGCCCATGCGATCCATCCGCCGGGTTTCGACGGCGGAGCAGAGAAGACGACGGCGAGGGTTGAGTTTCCGGCGTCGTATGAGAAGTGGAGATAGGCTTTGAGATAAGGGAGGTCGAGGCAGTGAGGGTACAAGGCGTTGCCGGAGAATGTCTGTGACGTACAGGTAAGTGAGACAGACGGTGAGATTAGCGAAGCCCAGAGGAAGAAGACGACGGAGGAGGAGAGAGAAATTCCCATGGGAGACGCCATTGAAGTAACCGTTAAGGACCTGTTTGGCGGAATATATACACAGGGATAATTATGTTCTGTATGCATGTCTACGGAAGTCCCGTGGACCAACCAATTGAAAATGTCTGTGCTCAAAGCAATCGACAACCAAGTCAAAGATTAGCGTAAATTAGTTGTGTGCTCTGTCTGAATCTGGAAGGCAAGAAAGTGAACAATGACAGGTGGAGAGTCTTGTTACATTTTACCCAAAAAAAGAAATAATTATTTCTGAGGAAACTGAAATAAATAGCAATGTTATTTATTTTACAATTTGCCTTGTATTGAATATTATTTATTTTGTCTTCAATTTTTCGATTTAATTTCTTCTAATTTTAGCCACCCCCGCGGGATTTCTCGTCCGACAGCAAATGAAACAATAACATTTTTATTTAGACAATTTTTGTCTCTTTCAATAAATAAGCATATTTTTTTTTAATAAATTGATGATGTGTAAGATATAAAAACAAATATAGTTGTTTATTTTGGTTTTTGTATTATATCATGTTATATTTGGACAAAACTAACAAGTAAGAACACCGAAAACAAGGGCTTGTTTGCGATGTTGTTTTTGTTATTTCGTATTTTATTTATTAGATTTTGTAAACATTATATCTATTTGGTTAGATGATAACTGTCAACTCAATTCGATTTTTTTTCAGTTTAATTTGAATTTTATTTCCCTAAAAATTATTCATAGAGATTTCGTTTTATTAATTTTTAATTATGTTTATATTTAATTCAAATCACATTAATTTAATTTTAAAAAATTACATCAATATAGTTTAAATTAATTAAATATACCATTATTATTATTATTATTATTCGATCTATATTTATCGATTTCGAAAACGATTTATTTGGTATTAGAAAAATTGTATCGAACTATAAGCGATTTTTAATCGGTTCGGTTAAATTCGGTTTTAGTATTTGTTCGATTCAAACACTTTTATTATATGAATACCAAATAACAATCAAAATTTAATGACAACACATAAATTCATATATAAAAGATGAATAATTTAGATCGTGATTCTATATTGATCGGGTTCGGTTCGACTGAAAACGGGCGAGCAAGCGAGCTCACCACGAGCCACGAGCCACGAACCGTAGTGATTGAATTGAATTTTCACCGTGTGTTGAAAAGTTATCGGATTTACATTACTTGGGTGTAAATTATGTTTGGCTCAGAGGTCGGTTAGTTTTGGTTCGCGGACTAGACAAATCGAATTGCGAGTCAAATATTTCTGACTCGTTTTAAAACGACTGAGTCAAAGTAGACCTTGACGATTCAAACCAATCTCGGTTCGACCGGCTCGTTTCTACGCTCCCGTCTAAATTCTAGAACCAAAACGTCCACCCCTAGGGATCTTGGCACGTGTCGTTCTGCAGTGGATCACGTCGTGGGTGACGTGGCATACAGGCGAAAATCTATTGTGGGCCTAATGAGCCCATATTGTTACGGGGCCAATTCTTACTTTCTGAACCCATTGTGATGGGCCTCGAATGAAACAAGCAATTCACCCACTTGATATCCGAGCGTCCCTCCCAAAATTACTTGTCTACTGTTATTATTTCTTAAGACTCTGATCAGGTTATAACGAACAAACGGCCGTTAACATTGTCGTCGAACCCAACCGAACGGCAACTAACGGAGGATATCAACGTCGGCACTGACGCCGTTAAGGTTGAGCCGGTGGTCCGTTTATAAGGGCCGAACCACTTCTTCTCCAAGTAACTCCTCCTCCGCCATGGCGGCATCGACAAGCCGCGACTCTTCAGCGACCCCTTCGCCGCCTCGCAAGCCACTCTCACCATCCTCCTCAGCTTGTCCTCCTTCCCCACGAAAATACCTGGCAGCGATTGCACCACGCGCGCGTATTGGCGCGTCGGCCTCGCGATTTCGAAATTGGAGTCGAATTCTGTGTCGACGAAGTAACGGATCGCCGGAGCTCCCGGTGTCGGATGGTGAACGACGTCGATGAACTCGTGGCTTCCGGACGGAAGTCCGGTGGCGGAGGACCTCCATCGGGACTTGCAAACGGCCGCGTCGTGGCCGAGCTCCCGCAGAAACGCCGTTATCTTCTGCTGGAAAACGGATCTCTGTTCTGATCTGAGGTCGGAATACGCCTCCACAGCTCTCAACACGTGAGCGAACAACAGATTCCGGTAACGATCAGAATCAGAGTCGCGGATATTCACGACCTCGTCGCTGGCAGCTGTGGAATACTCCGCCGCGGAGTCAGACCGGTCCGAGTCGGATTCCGAGTTGATCCGCTCTGTGTCAGTTCCGTCCTCGAGAAAATCGTGAACTAGGTCGGAAAGACAAGGAGAATCTCCGTCGAAAATTTCGCCGCTGCTGGAGAAGATTCGCGCCTTGGCCTCGTCGCCTAGCGAGACAGTGACTCGTCTGGTTTTGGCGAAAACCGCCATTGATGGGAGCTTTATGGTGATGAGTATTTGAGTAATGGAATATGTGATGTGGTATATAAGGGGACGGTTTGCATCGGTTAAGGTGGGGATTTAAGTGAGAATATTCGCGGGGATTTTTGGAATTGGATTGGTTTAAACTCGTAATAACCGAGAGTATATCCTATGACACCTGAGGATTATTCGGGTCGTAGGATCTGATGACGTGGACGGCTCCGATTTGTTCAGGCTTTTTCTTATAATTCATGCTTCTGTTCTGTCTTGTCCCCAAAAGTTTGCAATTTCTTTCCGCTTTCCTTTTAACCCATAGTTTCGGAATAAGCGAATGTTTGTCATTTTTTTATTTGGTTATATATTATTTCAATTTCGAAAATTTTATTATATATTTTTATAGATTTTAGTTTGATGTGGATTATATTATTTAGTTAGTATTTCAATTTTGTTAAAACATATATATTTATTCTTAAAAATAATTTATTGTCAATTGTATGATTATTTTCAATTATACTAATTTAATTTGAAAATTTTATTAAATTAATTTTTAGACTACATTCGATTAAACTATAGTTATTTGTTATTGTATTTAGGTATTGATTTTCCACACATAAATGCGTTTGCTTTGCCCGTTCAAAATGGAAACGAACATGAAGTGAAAAAAACATTTTATCTTCGTTGTCGCACACATCTAAAAATTTTATATCAATTTTCTTTCCGATAATTTAGTTACACCTCTTTATTTATTTTACCATTTTGTGTATTTTTTTTAATATATGTAAAAGGCTAGCCCATGTGGACTCAAACCCATTATGCTTCCACTCTTATGCCATTAATATTAATATGTGATATTATAACGAAATTCTCCCGATTGAAATGGACTTTTATAGAGCCCAATGTGATGAATTTTCTATTCAATTCTAACAAAAAATGGGCCTATAAAACAAACTTAGGTCCAACTAAAGGGCTCATTTCGAAAGGAAAAAGGATTAAGCCCAACTAAATATTTTGAATTTTGTTTTTTTTTTAATTTGTTTTTATCAAAATCATTTCAAAATTAAAGTTATAAAATCATTATTTTAATAAAAAATATATATTTCAAAACTAAAAATATATATAAATTGATATGAAAAATGATTGAGTATAGTTTTTTATGATAATAAAAAATGAATAAAAACAACTAAACCGAGGCATACCAAAAATATATAAGCAAAGAAATTAATTTGGTTTCCATGTTTTTCTTTTCTTTTTCTTTTTTCTAACCAAAAGGAAGGCTGGCATTGGACGGTGGAGTTGCAAAATCTGCCACGGCAAATTTAGGAGGTACGCATTCAGTCTTTTACATCTGTTTATTTGACCTTTTTCTTCCATCGTCTTTATGTTCATGTTTTTATATATATATATATACATACACACAACTATATATACACATAGTTATATCACATTCGAGTTTATACTAGTAGTTTAGGGTTCAGATATCGATTCATATGCGGCAAAATTAGTATTAACAATTTTAAATTAATTATTAAATAAATCAATAACAAAATTAGTACAATTTCCAATAAAAAAAACTGATGTTATTCATTTTATGGCAATAATTTTTTCTAGATACGTTATTACATTATTGATATAGTTGCTAAGGGAGATGAACCCTAATTCACCACGTGATTCAGCAGTGGAACTCAGCTAATTAATTCACACCGTTTCTGTAATCCATTAATTAGTCTTTTGGTGTCCTCATGTTCTTGATCTCTTCTTGTCTTTATTAATGTTTTTTTAATTCTACTCGGTGACACATTTACATTATTTGATATTTCCGATTTTAATTCATTTTTAGTTTTTTTTTAAAATTGTTTTGGGTTTTGTTTAATCATATCATATAGTTTTTATTTAGAAAACTAACATCTTCATAGTCCAACTATTATATTCGAATCAATTTTCATTCATTCAAATTATATAACTTTATATTCAATTAAATTTTAAAATGCATTCATTTATTTAATATACACGATTCTTTATTTATTAGACTCGGTGTGAAACCGAAATTAATAATCGGAATTAAAAGTATAACATGCAAAAAAAAAACTATATAGTAGCTGGACGCATTAATGATGACTTGTATCAATTACTAAGTAAAATTCGTCCATCACTTTTTGTCATTTTTTTCTATACCGTGGAAATGTGCATTTTTCTTGTGATAAATATTTTCATTGACAGGTGGCAGAAACCCAATTCACAATTCAATCCATTCATTTATTGGACAAATCTTAGCACACAAAAAAATTGTTTAATACGCAACGTGTTTTTTTAGCATATATGCGTAACAATATATTATAAACTCATATTTATTATATATGTATACATTGACATTATATGTTACGCTCAATTAGATGATTGACTAATAATAATATAATAAAATCGGTTTAAGGTTTTATTTTTTTTTTCTTCTAGTGTTTATTTATTCACCCCAATGTGAACATATAAAAATAGATGGCATAAAATTAAATTAAGAAAATGGGGGAGAACAAAGTTCTGTTATGTTCGTGTATTTACTTGAAAATTATATGGGCTTCGAAAGTCTCCATCGGCACCGCCGGTCCATTAATATGTCATGTGTGCATGTATATATTTTGGAAATCGGTCTTCACTATGTATGTATATATATACACACACTTATACTAAAAAAATCTCATATTATATCACAATATATATATATATATATAGTGAAAAATATACAGAATGATATATTTTATTCATAATTTGAATAACATGTATAAATAAATGAGAATCTTATATTAAAAATAATAATAAATAATTCTAAATATGTATTTTACGGATTTGATAAGATCTCCATCATACGACATATCTCGTAATATTCTTCACGATCTGATATATCTCAATATCCCCTTAAAATTAGAAGTGGAGATTACGAAATATCAATTTATAGAAAAAAATGATCAAACACACACCGTCTGAACAACATCATCTTAGAACTTGTGTCAATAGAAGACGTAACTAAAAAAAAATCAAACGAACGACTGCACTGTAAATTTGGTAACACACATAAAAGAAACGGTCGATGATAACAAAAAAATATCGGGAATAATTTAGATTCATCTGAGATTGAAAGGCAATTACGTGAAAGTGTTTAGTGATAACAAATTTTTTGGAAGAGTAAAATGATTTGCGGTTATACTAATGATCTTTTGAAATATGTGAGATTATGAGAGAAAAATAAAAAAGAAAAACAAAATGACTCTCTTATTCTTAAAAAAAACTTAAAAAAATATTATCACTGGATTCAGTATACCATAAAAAAATATGCAGAATGATATATTTTATTCACAATCAAAATAACATATACTTACATTGAATAAATAAACTAAATATAATAATAAATATTTCTAAATATATATTTTTCGGATTTGATGAGATCTTCATCATATGACATATCTCGTAATATTTTTTAAGATCCTATATATCTCAACATGGATCACCATTATCAATATAAATAGGATGTATATGGAATCTAAGGTTTACCTCTGTAGTTTATATAATATGATATCAATTGTTTTAAAATATAATGATATTTCTTCAATAGATGTGTAAACTGAAAAGAGCTTAAAAGATATTAAAGTTTTTATTACATTATCATTCCAGATAGAATATAGGATAAATTAAAAATAAAATACAAAATTCTTTAAACAAAAATAATGAACTTTTAGTTTCAGATAACCAATTTTGACTTATAATTTTAAATATTTTTAAACGTTTAATGTTTAATCATTCTAAAATTTTACGTAACCATCTTATGACATCATTTGACAATTTGTATTTTCTCCTCTCTTTTTCCTCACTTTAATATTCATATCATATTGTCCTAAACTTTAAACTTTAAACATTGAATACTAAATTCTAAATTCTAAACGTTCAACCCTAGTTTTTAAACTTAAAATTCTAAATCAATCTAAATTCTAAACCAAAAAAAATCATGAATCCTAAATTATAAATATTTAGGCCTCGTCTTAAATTCTAAACCCTTAAAAAAAACATAACTTTTAAGGTTTAGAGTTTTTAATTGAGAATTTAGGTTTGTAGAGTCTGATTTAAAATCGAAGGTGTAGAATTTAGAGTTCCTCATCTAAGTTAATTTAAATCGTGAATAATAAAATTAAAAGGAGATAAAAGAAAATTTATAAACAAAATTGTAAAATGACACTTTTTACTAAAAATATATTTAGGCTAAAAGTTCTAGAACATATTTTCTTTTAAATTAATATATAAATAGTGTTTTGAGTAAAACCTTTTCAAAAATAAAACTTGATTGTTTAAAATTGTTATTCTCACCTTTTAAAAATATAAAAAATGAAAATTTTTTAATGTATCAATTAAAAAAAGTCTGTGCATATAAATAAGAATAAAAAATCTTATATAAAATCCTTAATTTATAGAAATATCATAATTACGCATGTTTAATATAATATATACACATATAAATATATCTACACTGTTATACACATATTTATACATACATATACAGATATATTACATATAAGTGATAAGAGTATTAATATATATATATATATATATATATATATATGTATGCGTGTATAAGCATGTATACTATGTATATATATATATGATATACATGTATATATTAATATTTGATATATGTTTATAAACATGTATATATGTGTATGTATGTGTATATGTACATATCTGTTTATATATCCGAAATAGCACATTATCCGTCAGTGTTCATATTTAAAATGAATTTCAAATAGCAACATTCATCATAAATCCTAATATTATATTTATTTTGAAATTGTTCGTTTCCTTTGTTACGTTCAATGAATGCCAATCTTACTATATGGCTACCTAACTTCGTTAAATCTACCACATGTGACAAAAATGAATCAATCATTTTTTTACTTTATTTTTTGTTCTATGCCTCCTTCCTTATATATACATATGTTTTCCCAATTCTCTCTCTCTCTCTCTCTAAATTGCAACTTTTGCAAATTTTCCGGGAAAATTCCCACCGAGAATCTCGAGCTACTCAACCTCAACCCATAAAGCTAAAAGTTTTCATCTTTTGGTTAACAGTAAACAAAAGTTTTCATCTTTATTACTTTCAATGGACAACGATTACTGTCGGAGCGTGGGGTTTCACGCGCCGCCGCAGAATTTGGACATGCCTTCAGGATCCTCCTTAACAATGGCGAACTGGGACCCGCCTCTGATGTCTTCCTCCATGGGAGCGGACCAGTCCCAAGCTTTCTTGCTCAGTCAAAACTGCTGGTCGGAGCAGAGCATATTCCAGTCAGCTTTAACTTCGTTGGTCTCTTCTCCTGCCACGACGGAGACGAACTCCGGTGGCAACACCTCCGTGACCGGAAAACTCTCCAGCTTCGGAAACACCAGTTCCGGGGAGTTCTTGCCCTATTCTTATCCATGGCCGGAGCTGAATTTTCCGGCGATGATGAGACCCATTGCCACGGCGGCGGCGGAGGTCGCCGATGTCGGCCAATGGAACAGAGGATGTGGAACGTCGATGTCGGCAAATGGGACAGTGCAACGTGTCGAGAACGCTGCCTCGCTTGTAGCCGTAGGATCACGGGATGGATCAAAATTTTCCGGCCGATTTCCCGGAGAATTTTCCCGGAAAAGAAGATGTTTGGGGAAGGGGAAAGTGAAGGAAAGCTCAGCCGAGGTCTTGAAATCAACGGATCCCAAAAAGGTACGAACTTTTTCCACTGACACACACCAGGTTTGGAGTTTAGGGAATCATGATCTAAGATTAGTTGAACAATTGCCAATAATGTTTTTTTTTGGCAAAACAATTGAAATCAATGTAAAAGGGTATTTTAGACAAAATATTATTTTTGGAGTAGTAATTAAAAAGGGTATTTTAGACAAAATTATTTATTTCTTAATATATGTGTTTAATGTAAAATTAAATCGGAGGATGTATTACTTAGTGCATTCACCCAAACTTAATTATTTCGGTTTTTTTTTGTTTTCCTGATTCTATATTTACATTTTTTCTTTTATCAATAATGGTATTTTTTTTATTCACCAAAACATAATTTTTATACAAATTATAACCATACGAAACCTACTAATCGGTCTCAATATACAACTCATAGAACACAAAATCTTTTTTCTTATAAAATTATACAAAAACATATATTGTATAATTAGAAAAAAAATTGCCAACATGATTCTCGAACACAAATAACAAAAACATGAATGTAACAGGACGGTACGAATGATGGGAATCCGGAGACAAATGGATCGAAAGACGAAAATCCACCGGAGAAAGACTACATTCACGTCCGAGCACGGCGAGGCCAAGCCACCGATAGCCACAGCTTAGCCGAACGAGTAAACATTTCTTCTTTTTAAAAAAAAAATTATTTTGTATTATTAATTTCATAGTCTCTACAATTATTTATTCTAAAAAAATCTATTTTTTTTATTTGTACGATAATTTTTTTTACGGTTTCTGTAAACAGGTTCGAAGAGAAAAGATCAGTGAAAGAATGAAGCTCCTCCAAAATCTTGTCCCCGGCTGCAATAAGGTATTGTTATTATTATTATTATTATTATTATTATTATTATTATTATTATTGGGTGATAATAATGGTAAAATAAAATATTAAAAATAGGGAGATTCACATATTAAATACTGAACTTTAACCAAATTTCCAAATTAAATACTTAACTATCCCACTTCCAAATTTAATACTCAACTATATTGAAATTCACAAATAAAAACTAAACTTTTCAAATTTTAACATATACCTAAAGGATAATCCAAAACAAAACCCTTTACTTTTTTTTCATCACAATTTAAACCCTATACTTTTTTTATCCAAAAAAACCCTATACTTTTCAAAATTTTAAAAATGATTGTACATTTATTTTATATATTTATATGTATATATATAGAAACCAAATAAAAACAAAATCAATTACACATTTATTTTCCACAAAATTAATTGTACATTTATTTTATATATTTATATGTATATATATGTTTTATATATATGTAAGATATATGTACTTTTTCCTAAAAATCAGTATATATATAAGAAACTATTTATTATTCGTATATTGTTTTATATATAAGAAACTATTTTTCAAGAACATGTTTTTTTGGACAATTTAACTCATATAAAAATAATAAATAATTTCTTATATATATAAAAACAAAACCCTTTACTTTTTTTTCATCACAATTTAAACCCTATACTTTTTTTATCCAAAAAAACCCTATACTTTTCAAAATTTTAAAAATGATTGTACATTTATTTTATATATTTATATGTATATATATAGAAACCAAATAAAAACAAAATCAATTACACATTTATTTTCCACAAAATTAATTGTAAATTTATTTTATATATTTATATGTATATATATGTTTTATATATATGTAAAATATATGTATTTTTTTCCTAAAAATCAGTATATATATAAGAAACTATTTATTATTTGTATATTGTTTTATATATAAGAAACTATTTTTCAAGAACATGTTTTTTTGGACAATTTAACTCATATAAAAATAATAAATAATTTCTTATATATAAAAAAAAATTTAGGAAAAAAATACATATACCATACATATATAAAACATATATATACATATAAATATGTTTTTGGAAAATAGTTTTTTATATATAAAAAAATATACAAATAATAAATAGTTTTATATATATATAATAATTGTTTAGGAAAAAATACATATATCACACATATATATAAAACATATATATACATATAAATATATAAAATAAATGTGCAATTAATTTTGTGGAATATAAATGTGTAATTGATTTTGTGGAAAATAAATGTGTAATTGATTTTGTGGAAAATAAATGTGTAATTGATTTTGTGCTTATAATAATTAATATATGTATATGAATGTGTATAATTTTTAAAATTTTGAAAAGTATAGGGTTTGTTTGGATAAAAAAAAGTATAGGGTTTAAATTGTGATGAAAAAAAAGTAAAAGGGTTTGTTTTGGATTATCCTTTAGGTATATGTTAAAATTTGAAAAGTTTAGTTTTTATTTGTGAATTTCAATATAGTTGAGTATTTAATTTGGAAGTGGGATAGTTAAGTATTTAATTTGGAAATTTGGTTAAAGTTCAATATTTAATATGTGAATCTCCCAATAAAATATTACATAATTAAATTTGGGGAAATTTAATTAATTAGGTGAACGGAAAGGCATTAATGTTGGACGAAATCATAAACTACGTTCAATCATTGCAACGGCAAGTTGAGGTAAATGAGTGTAATTTAGTTTCCTTTTTTACATAGTAGTGAAATTATTTTCAGTATTTTTAATGTGTTTAATAGAATATTTTAGTAGACGTATATTTTGCGAAATTGTAATAATGTTTATTTTTAAAAAATAAACTAAAAAATGGTGTTAAAATTGGCAGTTCTTGTCCATGAAGCTTGCTTCGGTCAACTCCTGTCTGGATGTTCCCATGGATTCTCTGATGTCTAAAAATGTAAGTTGCTTACTTTATTTTATTCCCTTCTTATAAGAATATTACTTCACATTTATATACATATACAAATATATATATATATATATATATATATGAGGAGTTATTGGATAATTATTGTGAATCTAATTTTGTTTTTGTTTATTTTTATTAAACTATACTGGCTTTAAATAGGGAATGATTGTGCTGAGTTAATTCAATTCAATTAATTACAAAAATGTCATAATACAATAATTAATTAAAGTCGTTCGTCCCATTTAAAGTTTATATATTTAAGCTTTTTATTTTATAAATTTTCTATTATTCTAATTTTTTACTTAAACGAACTTATATTTTTTTATTTTATCATCTCTCTAAAAATAATTATATAAATAGTAGGGACAAACCTAAAAAAACCACTAACTATTATACTTACACCAAAAAAATCTTCTATTTAAAATTAATTATAAAAAATCATCAACTATTAATTTGGAGCAAAAAAGGCCATCACCTATATAAATTATTTAAAACTAATATTTCACTTTAAATTTTTTTATAAAAAACCATCAATGATTAATTTTAATAAAAAGCATTATCTATCTAAATAACTCAAAACATATAATGTTTTATATTTATTATAAAAATCTATTCAATTTGGATAAAAAAACATATATAAATTATATAATCCTAAAAATCACAATAAAAAATAATATTTATTTAAATTTATCATATTATAACATTTTAATATTTCAATGGTTGCAAACTATTAATTTGATTTTTTATAACAATTAATTTTTTTAAAATATTTCTATAATAATTTTAAAAAAATTATCAACGATTTTAAGTTATAAAAAATATTCCATTCTAAATATAAAAATCTATAACAAAAAAATATACTCAATTTACAAGTAAAAATTACCATATTTTATTTTATTTTAGAGTGTGTATATATATATTATCTCTTATATTTACCACCAATAAAATATACACAATTTACAGCCTCTAAAATATTAATATATGATAAAATTTTAAATATAATATTTACAATAATAAAATATACTCAATTTTAAATATAATATTTGTATATTATTATATATAGATTGATGTTTATAATATTTATATAAATGTTAAATATTAAAATATTATATTTTTTTGTACTTCTAGAATTATTTATATATATTTTCTATTTAAATTTTATATATTTTATAATAAATATAAAACATTATATTTTTTTGAATAATTTAGATAGATGATGATTGTTTTTATTAAAATTGATAGTTGATAATTTTTTATAACAAATTTAAAGTGAGAAATTGATTTTAAATAATTTATATAGTTTATGATTTTTTTTGCTCTAAATTAATAATTGATGATTTTTTATAAGTAATTTTAAGTAGAATGTTTTTTTTTGTGTAAGTGTGAAAATTGAAGGTTATTTTTAAGTTTGTCCCTAAATAATATAAAGTGTTATAGTTCTCTTGATTTTAAATATTAAAAATTATATTTTGGGCATCAGATAACCGAGGCGAATATTTGTCCTTCGCGAGGCCAACAAGTATGCAAATCTGATTCGCCGGCGACGGCGACACGATTCTTGGGCCAGCGATTTGACCATTCTGCCCTTCGTCCCTTTCATAGTAATACCAATATGCCCCCTTCTTCTGCTCAGCAATGTTACCAAAATACCCCTCAGGTACAATGTGTTTTTTTTTTGGTTTTTTGGTTTCTTACACAACACAAGCATGTGAACATAAACAAAAGCATTTATAATATAATTTAAAATAAGGTTTTGGGTGTGAACCCGGACTCTAATATCATGGTAAAGATTTATGAAATAATCTCTTGTATTTTTCATGTTTTGGTATGAAAGAATTAAGAATGTATGCTTGCACAAAATTTTTACATAATTAAAATTAATTATCAATCTATAAGAATAAATAAAAACCAATATATATATATATCACATAGTTAGATGTCTATTATCCTAATAACTCGTTTTAGTTTTGCGAGGATGATCTTCAAGCTTTTGTGCAAATGGGATTCCAACATAACCAAAACTCCCATGGTAAAAAAAGAAACATAATTTAATGTGCAGTAATAAAATATTAACATTATTATTTTACCATGGGAGAAAGCAGAGAAACAAACCCTAATTTGGAGGAATTGGAGAGCTTCTTCACGTTTGGTTTCGTTTTTCTTCTGTTATATATTGTTGTATGTTGTAATTAAGTTTGTGCTAAATTCTACTTCTACAAGTTCATGTAAACACTAGAGTTTTGATGATAATGCAATGGAATCTATATATATTAATATATATATATCAAATTATCAAAACTAACTCATTTTTTCTCTTATATAAATATACTAACTATTTAAAATTTATATAGAAATACACAAACTTTCAAAACGTAATCATAATTCCACCAAAATAATAGCTGACTAAAATATATTAAACTTTTAAAGTACAGATCTATTTCAACAATGATCGAACCCTATTATTTACAAAATATAGTTATTCTTTTTTTTATAAAGGTTTGTAAAAATATAGTTATTCTAATAATCGATAAATACCATGGTCATTTTTATGAAAATTTGCTAATATTTTATAATTTAATAGATTACATAAATATTTCAAACATTTTGGGTGGCATATTTATAGCAAAGAAAAAAAAATCACATTTGGTCAGTACATATATACATGTGTAATGCACGCAACTCAGCTTCCATTGTAAAATCATATATACAGATATATATATACACACATATATATATGACTAGATGTCTACGTGGGTCAACACCGGATTTGATTATGGTGTAATTAATGTGGTTGATTTATGTCTTTTTCCAAATCTGAGACAGTTGTCTTCTTTGGACCTTAATTATTGGTTACAAAAAAACACTGAAATTTAATTGCTTTTTCTATGATTAGGAAACAGGGAAGCCATATGTTTGTTTGTCCGAAAGTCATGCTCAAACCATACAGCTTCGTAATGAACTCTATATATAATATATATATATATATATATATATATAGAAAGAGAGTAGATTCAATTTTATATTTTATGGAAATGAAAAAGGGAATGTTAAAAGTTTAACTGAATCATAATTTGGACGCGTTTAGGTAAAGGGAAATTTAAACTAGAGGAACAAAATAGATGACGAAATTGTTACAGATTATAATATCAATATACGGGATATCATTATATTAGATTGAGTATATTAAAAAAACTTAATGAATATGAAAATCAAATTGAAAATATATGAATATAAAATAAAATAGAGAAGAAAGATTAATTTTTTAGAAAATAAATATTTTTTAATAAACTTAAAGTTAAAACGGATTAAAATAAAATCTAAACAAGCGCGAATGTGTCAAAACCCGTCATTGCAGTTTTTTAAAGTAAAAAAATTTGAACGCAGAACGAATCAATTGAAAACAAAAAAAATTTAGCTAGCATCAAATTAATTAGATTATTAGATTGAAAAAAGCCGAATCTTGTAGAATATATATAATAATGTCACCTAATTAAAGAGATTTATTTGAAAAGAGGAATGATAATTAATTGAATCATAATCATCTTGAAATCAATTTTTAGTGAAATTACTTTTTCATGTTTAAGGTAAAAAAAAAAAAACAGACGAACTTAACCTAAAAAAGGAGAAGGCGTTGGGTGGTCGGCAGAAACAAACATTTCGATAATGATACCTTAAGTACTTTTGTGTTTTTTTAAAATTAATATAATTGGAAATTCAAAATTAAATATTTATCATTCAATGATAAGATGCGAGACAATTCATATGATCATTGTATAATTAATTGCATGTCGTTTAGGAAAGAGACATATGAATAGTTCCCTCATAAGGTAAGGTATATATAGCAATTAATATCAACTATTATTTATTATACAACTTTTCTCAACATATGCATATATGTATATATTTATTATAACACTATTATGATCACTTTTGTCGCTTATGAAACATAAATACATCAGAAACGGATGTTCATCATTTTTGCTGGATGGATGCATGCGTGCATGCACGTGGTTATTCAACTCATTCATTTTTATGTGGATTTCCCCTTTTTTGTTAATATTTTTTTTGGCAAAACGTAAAAATAATCTAAACGAATATGAAATATGCAATTTTATAGTTATGCAACTATTATGAATAATCGATCTTTCTCGTAATTATAACATTCTTTTATTGTAATTTATAACTAAAAAAAGAATTTTGGTAGGATACTTTTTTTTTTGTTAAAGGGTATATCTGTATTCATATTAAAAACAAAGGAATATAAGATCCCAATGAGACGAAAACATCAAAATGAAATATAATCTAATACATCACGCATCAGAGAACCAAATTTGGAGTAAGTAGCTGGCAATTCCAGGGTCTGACGGCCGCCATGTTTGCTCTGAAAGCTTTATCGATGTCCTTACGTAGCGCCGATATGTTTTTGAATCTAGAATTGTGTAATCTTGAGTTTCTTTCGATCCAGATAGTGTAAACAAGCAGTTGGCGAGTAATACAAACACCCCAATGACGATGTTTACAATCCCACCTTTCAGGCAGCCATGCAAGTGACGTTTCCCAAGTTGTCTGAGAAGGCAACAGTCCCCCACTTTCTCATTGAAGAGTTATAGAGTTCTTTTGTCATGCTGCATTCATCAAAAAGCAGATGATTTCTGCTTTCTAATTCACCACCACAAAATAAACATGAGGTTTCAGATTGTAATCCCCAATGCATCATACGTTCTCTTGTTGAGCATCGATCAAGAACAAAAAGCCATGTGATGAATGAGTGCTTAGGAGTGTGGAATCTAAACCATATGATTCTGTACATTCGACCTTATTTAGTGTTTTGGGGATACTTGAAACATGCATATAATTGTATTGGTACCCAATTTGGATACAACCGGTAATGGGATGCAAAACATCTGTTTTGTCCCGAGTTTGAATCTCAAATTGGGAAGAGAACGTAATTCCAATCATATGGTTTGATTCTGATTCCAAGATTAACCTGAAACTCGGTTCAGTATACTCGATTATAGAAAGAAAAACTTTTTTGATGAAAACAAAGAAAAAAAAAGAAAATATTTCAGTTGTTAAGAGGACTATCAATTTTTTTTCTGTGTAAATTAATTATTGTTTCAGTTTTATCAATCACTTTGTTTCGTGATATTCCGATTCTTTTTGTAAGTTTTAATTACCTCGGAGATGTTTCTACTTCTAGAGAGATATTTTTTCTTTGTTTATTTAAAGGAAAAAAATAAACAAACGGGCTTTACTACAGTTGACGGCGTTAACGAATTTGGCAAGTTTCCAGAAAATACGGATCTCGTTGACCGTGACGGCGGTTACCTTACGTCAGCGTTCCGTTGATATAAGGTCAGGGTTTGCCTTCACAGTTATCAACCGTTGATATCTGTCCATATCTTCTAAGTATAGCTTAATCAAATTCCTTAATCCATCTTGAATTTCAATTTTTTCTAGATTATATAAAACTCATGTTTTATTTTGTTCTTTTATTCGACTTATAGTTCAGTTTGGATTTTATTTTAACAAAAAATAAATATAAAAAATTATTTGTTGTTAATATTTTATTTTCATGATCATTTAACATTTTTAGCAAGTATTTTTGTTAAAAATGTATTTCCATACCTGTTTATTCTTTGTTAATCCCATTAATTTAGGCCTTGAATGGAAGGTGTTTTTAAAGTTTTTAAAATCTAAAAACCAAAAAAGATAACAACCAAGTTTTTATAAAATTAGTTTTTCTAAAAACTTGGAAAACCACTTTACTAAAAAAATACACTAAAAACCAAAACCAAAATCCAAAAACCAAAATTCAAAAACTAAAACCAAAAACCCAAAATAAAAACTCAATCCATTGAACACCTTAGTTTATAAAACATGGTTGAGTTATAGATTAAATTTATTTTGGATAAAATTATGCGTCGTTCGATTTGATATTATATAATTCAGTTTTTACATAAAAAATTTAGATTTAAAAGCACGCATGAGACAATTTTTTTTTAAAAAAAATCTAAAATCCAATCCTAATCGGAATCAACGGAAGTCGCGTGTCGATTTGACATATATAATTCAGTTTTTTTTACCTTTCGTGCATTTTTAGATCCGAAAATGTCCACTCCTCTCCTACTAAAAAAGTGTTACACCTCGTGTTTTTTTATTTAACACAATAACGTCATCGACGATACAAAGATGAAGAAGAGAGAATGTAAACTACATGATGTTTTTCTCTACTTGAATCAAAGCTCGTTGTCCGAGGCCCCTTGGTTGGATGATTTCCCGTTCACAGCGACAAGCTCAGTGTCGAAAACCAGCGTGGCTCCGCCTGCGAATTCACGACCCAACAGAGGCTTATTTCCATCCTATCTTTACGTTCGGGCAAACCAACCAAATATACATGAAGGAAAGCAAGACAAGCAACTGAACCCATATCATGCAATTCCGGATTAATTCATGCTAAAATGTTCCTTTTGCCATATGGAATTCCAAATAAATTCGGTTTGTACAAGAAGCTCAAGAAAGTTTTTGATTAATAAAATTCACTTTCGGCAGTGACAGAAAAAAGAAGGGCGAAGATGCAGTTTGATAGGTAGGTTTGGAAAAGAAAGGATTAAGGAAAAGATTCTTTATCCCGCTGCTTGCAGGACGCGAAATGGCAGATCATTAGTTTCTTTGGTGTCTAAATTGTTTCGGACTATTATTCTCCGGATTAAAAATTAACCCTTTCGGGTATCATCTATGCACTCAATATTGGATAACGGGGATTGGATGGAAAAAAGGGTAGCAACACTTGATCCACAAAAAGATTTTGAGCAAAGGGGAAGTTCAAGAATTTGGGAAAGCAGAGAATACCAGGGATTTTTGGCGGAGAACCCTGATCACCGTAACCGAGTTTAGATGGGATTTTCAGCTTTCTCTTCTCACCAACGCATGCTCCCAGTAGTCCTTGGTCCCACCCTGCAACAGACGCAGTTACAGTGCCAACTTGTATCTGTGCTTCGCGGAAAAGAAACGATCAAAGAGACGCAGCATTGCTAAACGTGCAACATACCTTTGATGACTTGGCCAGTTCCAAGCTCAAACTCTATAGGGTCACCCCTTTCGAAACTTGAATCAAAGACTGTTCCGTCGGTTAACTTTCCCTGCAGGATTAAACCATGCATAACTATCGAGAATTTTCACGGCTACATTCTTCGTTTTTTTGGTTCATAGACTACATGATCTACAATTCAAAATTTCAAATAGCACTAGATTCAGAGCGATTTTAACAGATAACCACGGACATTTGAAGCTTGTAATTTAGGAATCAATATAAGATTGAAGCTGTAGCAATGTATGGTGGTGAACATTGACAACAGTTCCATTCTCTCATATTACGGAAGTTCAGCCCGAGATCGTCCTTAAATAAAATATCAGCCAACTTGAAGCTTCGATCAACTTACCCGATAGTGGACCTTGACTCGATCTCCTTTGTGAGCCTGAAGTTCACACTTCTGCGGCTTATACTGTAAAGAAAAAGGAAAGTGATGCAAGGGTCAAAACAATACTAAAATTCCAGATGCCAAAATGCAGATAAGCCAAGCCCATTCCCACTTTCTTCCTCAATCACCAAATCAACATAGAACAGAAATCGAGACAGAATATGCACAAGGAATTACCACCAACCTTCCAAAATTACAAGCTTAAAACAAATGCGAATTACTAACATTTTGCAAAGCGAAGAAAATTGCAGAATTGAAGAGATTCCTACAAAAATATGAACCTATGAAAAGTAAATATTGCTAGGGCAAAATTGACAATAGCAACATAAGATCAGCTTATATCCAGGATTCCAAATGCAATATCAGATTCAAATTCACATATCTATCCAATGAATCTTGAATCGGAACCGACAGCTGCGTAGAGATGTAAGCATCATAGTGGATGAATTTTAAAGAGATTTTTTGGACCACCTTGACTCCAATCTGCAACTCCGTCACATCTCCCGACTTCTTCCCGTAAGCTGAAATATATCAATCAAATAACAGACGAACCAAAAACAAACACGATTACATTTCTATGATTCTCACGGGAAAACGATCAGATCAACAGCAAAAAAAAATGATTGGACATCGGGGAAAAACAAAGGGACCGACAAGAAAAACTCATCTAACACTAGAATCCTACACTCGACACCTGAATAATTTGTTTCATACCTAAAGCGAAGACCGCCAACAGAACCAGAACTCCGGAAACTTTCATGGCGGACAGACTCATCTCCACGTTCTTCGCTGTCCTTCTCACCTCCGATCTGATTTTTTCGGGTCCAACTGAATGTATATCTAGTGGCGTCGGCTTAACGCCGAAAAGATGAGCTCAATCAAATGGGCCTAGTTATATAGCCCATTAGTAGGCCCTTGACAATGAAACCTAGAGCCATTATATCGCTTTCTCTGGCCCATGAGCTATTTCTTGATTGCCAAATGTATTTGATATAACAGTTGAAAGAAAATATATTTTCAAATGTCAATAGTCGATTTTTTAAAATGAACATGTTTAGCAATAAAAAATAAACTCCAAAAAAATTGGAATTAAATGAAATTCAATATAAAATGCAGATACATATATATAATTCTTCTGAAACTAAAAAAACTCGGACCCCAAACAAAATCCAAATATCCACCCTAATTAAATACCGGAATCGAATTGAATATTTTTATAAAACCGAAAAAATTGGACCGAACCATTCCCAAACCGAGTGCGAACCGCCCACCCCTAAAATCTTCGCTCCTTCAGGTTGGAAACTAAGAAATTGAAGCAAGAAATTGAGAGAGATGAACCAAGAACCAGACTCACATTGTATCTCAGATCCTCACAGTAGCACCAACAAGGACACAAGAAAATTAGGGTTCTATGTTACAGATAACAAAAGAGATCAACAAGTTGGAGTTCTGCGTATAATCAAATTGCAAATGATGGATATTCAGAGAGAGACATAGTCTCAGCTGATAAATAGACTTCATCCGCAGCCTTGGAGTCATGACAAATCTCTTACAGAAAATCGCCAAGAACAGAACAGACTGTAAGAAAGAAGAAGCACTCTCTCTTCTCGTAAGGGAAGGCCAGAAAACGTATCCGAATTGCAAATCTCGAAACTAAAATACTCCCCTGACCGAGAGTCTTCACAATCACAAGCTCCATTCCGTTGGAAATCGGGTCTGTAATGTGCAAACAAAGCAGAGTTCTGAAGATCAAACTTGATAACCAGCACGATGTGGATGGCTCCAAGGGTGTAAAAGAGATCCATTACTCCCTATTGTAAGCCGAGTTATTTCGCCCGAGCGAGCAATTCAATCATTCATCAGATTCAGTAACTGGGTTTAACCCTTGTTCATGAAATAGACTTCGTCCAACAAAGATCTGTAATTCCTTTCGCCCATCACCAAATCCTTCTTCTTCCATTCCTCGAGTAACTCAAGAGCTTCATTCCCCCTCCTTTCCCTGCACAACTCCGTCAAAACTGTCTTATACGTCAACAAATCTGGAGACATTGAATTCCCCAACATGTCAAACACAACCTCAGCGGCATCATCCAGTCTTCGTTCCATCGCAAGACTGCAGATCAAAACCATATAACAACTCCCATTTGGCACCATCCCTTTGCTCCTCATCTCCTTGTAAAACCCTAAACCCTGACCAACCCTTCGTTTCTCACACAGCCCCTTTGTTATGTAACCATACGTATAGGCATTCGGCTCGCAGCCGTACAAACCCATTTCCCGAAAAACCCTTATGGCTTCATCTACCTCAAGACACTTAGAGTAAGCTTTTATAATCATGTTCAACACAAATGTATCCGGAATCACCCCTACCGTTTTCATCTGCTTCGTCATCGATCTAACAGCGTGCAAGTACACATAACACACATGCAACTTGTTGAATCTCTTCAACAGCGAATTCAGAAGCAAAGTATACGTTTGCAGGTTCGGTTTGGAGTTTTCCGACCGGAGCATCTTCTTGTAAACATCAAAAGCTCGGTTAAACAAGAACTTACGGCCACAGCAGAATCGGATGATGGAGTTGTAGAGAGGAACACTCATTTCACACGCACCGGCGATTACCTCCTCGATTAGGGTTTCGGCGTGTTTGTACCGTTTTCCGCTGGTAAGGAGCTTGATCATTGTACGGTAAGTCTCGTGGTTGTGCTTGTAGCCTCTCTGTTGAGCAGTCCATCGGAAAATGTCGAAGGCCAGATCCGGGTCGGATTGTGCCCGCAACGCCACCACAACGTCCCCGTGAGTGAACCCTGGCTTCAGATTCTGGATCCAAGTCTCGAATTGGATCTCAAGCGGAGTCCGGCTGCGGGTTCGGGTTCTACTCGGGTCGATCGGTGATTCCGGTGGGTTCGGTGCCTCGGACGGAGATGAAGAAGAGGAGGAGGATAGGTGTGCACAGAGTGATGCGCGATTCACGGTGAAGAAGATGGGAGGAAGCTGCGGCGGAGAGAGAACGCCATACCGTTCGAAGACTGTGAGGACGCGGCGGAGGGCCGCCGACATCGTATCGACGGCGGAGGAGATGATCGAACGAGTGAAGAGACTAATAAAGAGAAACTACGAAGTCCTAATATCACTCGAAGGGCCCAATTATTTATAGGCCCAAATATATATTAAGGCCCAAACAGGCCCATTATTCAGCGGAGTCGATCCTTATCCCCTCTCGCGAGCGAATCTTCGCGTAGATACCCAGTTTGTTAAGGGATATTTAGGTAATTTCATATATAATTATTAAAATCTCTCCAGGGGACCACAATTTTATTTTCCTCCGCTTCTCTTTCTCCGCGTTTTCTTAATAATCAGGAAATAGTTTTTTTAATGTCTATATTTATCGCGTTTAATATTTTATTCCGACGATAATTATACTTTGAATTCATATTTATCCTTTTTTTAATTTTATTATTATTTTCCTTCGGTTTCTTCTTCTTCCTCTTCTTCTTAGGAATCTGATTTATACTCCAATGGCTTCCTCAGCAATCTGATTTTCTCTCTCTTCACCGTCTGGTTTATCTCTTCATAGCTCTCTCTCCTCCTCTCCTGTTTTCTGCTGTTTCTTTCTCCTTTTTCTGAGGATAGACGACATTGGTGATCTGTTCAATCGCTTCATCGGATCTTCAAGCTCCTGAAATTCTCTGTTTTGCATCAATGGTGAGAATCGTCCGACTTGATCTCGTGATTTTCTTTTCTCAATACGTTTCAGACTTCTTCTTTTTTACTCGTATGATTTTCGTTTGAATTTTCCTGCTTATCTGTTTTGCTTCTCGGAGCATACGAGACAAAATTTTGGATAAATTCAATTCAATTTTTCTCCATAGAAGCCTATTGATAGAGGAAGACATTACAAGAGGAAAGCAGTTGGCTTGTTTGTTCCTTGTGTTTGTGTGGCTTTTTTTTTGTATTGATGGACCAGAGACAATGATAGAACATCATTGGAGAAATTTATTGTAATCAGTTTCTGAGTTTTGTCTTATGTGCTTCAATAAGATTTGATCTTGCTGTGCTTTGGAAACTAACCGTGTTCCTTTTTATGTTCATTTGTTTCGCCTGTATTCCAATGGATCTTCTATATTACACGTTTCAATCTCGATAGATTGCTTAATTAAGATTTATTACTATGTTAATCTTTCTTATGAATCTTAAGCCAAAGATGAATCAAGTTCGTTTTGATCTTGAAATAAAATTAGCTGTCTTGGGTTTTGAAACTTAGGCTCCGTATCTTTAGGAACAGAATAGATTTCTCCAAATATCTGAATCTATCTGATAAGTATTGCTTCCGTTTCTTACCCTTGTATAATCTATCTATTATCTACTGAATGAATGGCAAAATTATTTATCTCTTTCTGAATTTACTGCTTGGAGGTCTGATATGATTAATTTGCTGTTCTTTTTATAGGTGGGAGTTGTTTGAGTTAGATGTTGATGCTATGAGAAAATTAGGTCGGCAGTGAGTTTCTGAAGGTTTCCTAGAACGGTTCTTGTAGATGATGCTGGCCGATTGCAGCTTGTAGAAGCTGCATTCAAGAATGATGCTTACCTTTCAATTTATATTAACTCAGTCCTACGATGAAAAGCGGGTTTTTGTCGACGATATATATTTCATGCTACAGTCTAGCGGTAAACCGTTTATGAGTGCTGGTGAAAGCTCTTGCGTTAAAATAATAGACACCTCTTTGGTGTGGAGGTTGGCAGAAGCCAATTGACAATTTCTTTTTGTGCTATAGCTAAAAGGGAAATAATGGAAAGGTTAGTTTCTCCCTAGTGCACATATGTGAATCTTTAACATTTTTTTCTATTTGAGTACCTGATGGTTTACCTGTTCGGATTTTTCTCTGTTTAGGTATAAAGTTTTGGAAGAGCTTGGAGATGGTGCCTGCGGTAGTGTATATAAGGCCTTCAATATGGAAACATATGAAGTTGTAAGTTGCTGAACTACATTCTCCCTGTCTTTCTCGTCTCTCTGCGTTTTATTCTTTCATATCCATCTCGTGCTTTGTGAACTCTGGCTGCTTTATTGCCCTAGAAGACAATGGATCTTTACATGCGTTTAAATCTTTTTTCTCTCCACAACTCAGGTTGCTGTCAAGAAAATGAAGAGAAAATTTTACTACTGGGAAGAGTGCATGAACCTACGGGAAGTTAAGGTGCATACCTTCGCATCCTTTACATCTGAACATTATTAACACTGATTTTGCTCACTGGAAGCAGCTCAAAGGCCTTTGTGTTACCTTCAAAGATGCTTATAATATTATGTTCTGCAGGCTCTTCGCAAGCTTAATCATCCCAATGTCATAAAGTTGAAGGAGGTTGTGAGGGAAAATAATGAGCTCTTCTTCATCTTTGAGTGCATGGTAGAGATGATTATCTTCCTTTCCTTTTTTGGGGTGCTCTGTTGGATGTTACTCTTATATTGGTATTTGCTGATCCTGGGTAACTGTCTATTTAGGAACACAATCTGTACCAAATAACGAAAGAACGGGAAACACCTTTTCCGGAAGGGGAAATAAGAAGTTTTATGTCTCAGATGCTGCAAGGGCTGGCTCACATGCATAAGAATGGTTATTTTCATCGGGACCTAAAACCTGGTACATATTTCTGCTTTTTGTCGTGTTGCTATCTTGTTAATTGATATGGAGTTCCATCAGAATCTGCAGTCTTGTTTAGGCAATTTTCCCTAGCTTGAAATGTCTAACCAAATGTTGATCCTGTTTTAAAGAAAACTTGCTGGTGACAAACGATATCCTGAAAATTGCTGACTTTGGGCTGGCTAGAGAAGTTGCATCGCTGCCTCCTTACACCGAGTATGTCTCTACACGTTGGTAAGTAATGTCTTACGATATTGTCTGGCATGCCTGCTGGAATGCTTATGGAGAATCTATAGGTGAAAAGAAATAACTGGGTGACGTTATCTTAGCTGATAGTCCGCTCCTTTGTCTAGGTATCGAGCTCCTGAAGTTTTACTGCAGTCATCATCATACACTCCTGCAGTCGGTGAGCACTGTTTTCTTTTTGTAGATTCTTTTTGTGTGTCTTCCAAACCAAATAAGACTTGAGCGATTGTCTTGAAATGTCTTCGGTGACTCCCTACCCTCCCCGCATTTGTTCTATGTCTCCCTTCTTTTCTCTCTTTTTTCTCTGCTGTATGGTTTTGTAGATGCTTATAGACGCTGATTTTTTTTCCTGGATGAATCATCTGCTAACTTTAAATGGAATTGCAGACATGTGGGCGGTTGGGGCAATATTAGCTGAGCTTTTCATGTTATCCCCTATATTCCCTGGAGAAAGGTGAATTTCTCGTTGGCCTAGTTACTATGTTAGGGGCTGACATGCTATGAGCATTTTGGAACAATAACAAGGCTTATGTTAGCATGTAGTGAAATCTGATAGAATTTCTTTCTTTATGAGCAGCGAAATGGATCAATTATACAAGATCTGCTGTGTTCTTGGTAAGCCGGACTGGACCATTTTCCCTGAAGCAAAAAGCATATCCCGAATAATTAGTATTAGTCATTCAGAGGTCAGTTTTCTGAGTAGAAGATAACGCTGCCCATTTAGTTTGCACCTAGATTTATTGACATTTCTTTTATAATTTCTTGCGGCAGTTTTCACAGCCCCGAATTGCTAATCTCATTTCTAATGCTTCCCTTGAAGCTATTGACTTAATCACTGTGAGTGATCTAATTCACCCTTTCTGTAAAATGAATTATGTTTCTAACCCTTTATCTGATTTTATTTCTTTCACATCTTAGTTTAATATGTTTTTCTTTTTTGATTTCAATAGCAACTCTTATCATGGGATCCTTTGAGACGACCAACTGCAGATCAAGCGCTACAGCATCCATTTTTCAATGTAGTTTGGATTTCCTTTGCTAAAGTTTTGTAGTTCTATTGTTATATTGTTTTAAACATTAAAAGAATCAATGACTTGTGCTCTGCACAGATGGCTAAGCGGGTTTCATATCCACTCCATGACCTCGAGCTGAGACTCAATAACAAGGGTGGTGAGTATTTTGTTTTGCTCCCTGTTTCGTGTATTGTGCATTACAACCCATTCTGCTTTTACATCGGGTCCGGTTGGTCACTTTCCAATTGTGTTATTCTTCAGGAGCAATGCCAAATCTTGAGCTAAACCTCTGGGACTTCGACACAGAACAGGACGAATGTTTTCTTGGCTTGACACTGGGTGTGAAACCAAGTGCTTCTAACTTAGGTAAGCATCTCTCTTATCTCGTGATGGCTAACAATGTATAAAGGAAAATAAAAGTAAACACGGGGTTACGGGATTTGACTATATTTGTGCCTCATGGAGACATCTCAATGGCTACCAAAACATCTCTTCAAATTTTAATTTTTTGGGGTTTCATCTTTCCTTTCCTCTATCCCTTCTCTGGTTTCATCACTTTATGATTTTCTTCTTAATTCTGTTATACACCATCCTCTTGCAGAAATGGTCCACAATGTATCTCAGGGTATGGGTGAGGTAAAGCTCTGTGGTTCCTGTACTCATAAAATGTGAATAGAAATGATAGTAAACTGTTCATTAATGAAAGTTTGTTTTTACGACACAGAATATTCTGTTTTGCTCGGGGCTCAATGACGACGCCGAGCCATCAGGTAAGAAGATAAAGTGTCCTTAATGTATTTCCCTGACAGTGTGGTATGTATCCCTTCCATTTTCGATCTCTAATATCTTTCGTTCTTTGTACATTTACAGTTTTCTGGTCACTTCTATCTTCTGATCAAAATCGCTTCCATGGCGCCTCGGTTGAATCTTCTTCGCCTCTGTCTCTTTCGTTTGGGTCAGTTCCAAAATCCTTACCAATTAAGCCCCTCTCTGTTCAACTTTCCTTTTCTTTTTCCGTCTCTATGCTGGCCTAACTGAAAAATCTGTGGGGGAAGCAGTTCGATTCAGCAACATACAACGATGGGACAACCTCACTCGACGGGGTTCACTGTCGCCTCCTTGCAACCCAACGTCTTGGACCGGTCGTTGCTGGCAGTTTCCGCCCCGTTCCAGCAGCGACATTACCTCTGAATGAATCTCCCCAACTCGTCGGTACAAAAAAGGAAAAACAAAGTGAAGAGTCTGAGCTTAACAGAAGAGAAAAAGAAGTTGTCTTTACCATTTTTTTTTTTAAACTTTTGTATAGCTTCAAGAGTGATACTCTTTCATAAAACGTTACCATTACCAATTCTTAGAGACAGTTTGATGTCCAAAAATACTTGTGGAACCACGACCGACCAAACAAAAGGGTCTCTGTGTAAATGAAAAGAAGTGTTAAAAAAGTTTGTGGTCTTGTTTTTTGGACCTTATAATTTTCTTCTTTTTTTTTTTTTGATGAATATATCTATGTTGATATGGTTGGGACAAACTCAAAAAAATCTCAAAATTTTCTATTTACACCAACAAAACTTTCTACTTAAAATTTATCATAAAAAATTATCAACTATTAATTTGAACAAAAAAGACCATTAACTATATAAAATTTTTAAAAACAATTTTTCACTTTAAATTTGTTATAAAAAAATTAATTATCTATCTACACAATATTTTGTTTTAAAATTTATTATAAAAATTTATAAAATTTAAAGAAAAAACAGATATAAATATATAATTCTAAACATCACAAAAAATATAATCTTTATTTAAATTTATTATATCATAATATTTAAAATTTATATAAATATTTATAAATATCAATCTTTATATAATACATTTATGTAGAAATGTTACATTTAAAATTCAGTATAGTTTATTGGTTATAAATATGAAATTTAAAATTTTATCATATGTTACTATTTGATAGATTGTAAATTGAGTACATTTTATTGGTTATAGATTTCTATATTTAAAATAGAATGTGTTTTGAGAATTTTAAATAATTGAAAGTTTTTTTTATTAAAACTACTTTATAAAATCTATAAAAAAAAATAAAATGATAATTTGCAATCTCTAAAATAATAATAGATAATAAAATTTTAAATATAATATTTACAACCAATAAAATATACTCAATTTATAATCTATTAATATTAATATACACTTTTTATTTTTTTATAAATAAAATTCTTTATTAAAATTAATAATTGATTTTTTTTATTACAAATTAAAAGTGAAAAAATGTTTTTAAAAAATTATATAGTTAATGGTTTTTTTGTTCAAAATTAATAGTTGATGATTTTTTATGATGAATTTTAAGTAGAAGGTTTTTTTTATGTAAGTAAGAAACTTGAAGATTTTTTTTTTGAGTTTGTCCCAATATGGTTTGACATGACATTATATAAAAAATATTCTTATTTTGCTATTTTTACTTAAAACATATTTCGTTTCCGCTGTGATCAACATATAGTGTGATCACATTTTGTTTTTATTGATTATAATGTTAAATTTATGGTGATCTCCCTAATTTATTATGTTTATACCTTATATATCTTAGTAATTATTTGATTAAAACATCATAAATTTTAAACATGAGTCACGTGATCAAAATTGGAAAAAGATATCTGTTGAGTTAAAAATAGTTTTTTGATAATGCCAGTTTGACAGATACGCAATTTTTATCTGTCTTTCTACAAACAAGACCCGGTTTTATGTTTCATGTCTTCTGTTTTGATTTTTTCAGTCTTCAAAAAGCTATATAATATATGTATAGGTTGTGGTAAATATACATATTTTATTCAAAAGTCACCGTCTTTTGACAAACCCTCAACGGCTTCGTTCTCGGTTCGCTTCCTCATGGCGGAGTAAGTTTCTCCCAATGCTCATTTCGTTTTCCCGCTTTCACTTCTGTGGTCTTTTAAAGCTTCAATCTTGGTTTGTGTCCGATCATGTTTGGCTCACCAGAAACTTAAAGATTAGGGCTTTGTCCAATGCCAGACCCTGAGGATGCAGAACAAGTGGACGATGAACCCTTTTTTCTCCTGACTGAGGAATGTAAATCGCTTTCTCTTCTTTATTCTTAGTGATGTTGATGAAACTTGCATTCAATTACTGTTCATTAACTATTCTCCAGCTTACAGACCAGAGCAAAATCATTGCAAATCTTGAAATCCTTTGCAGATCACGTTTTCTTCGTTTTTTTTTTATATGAGACCCACAATGACAGGGATAGCAATGAGTCTTGGTACTGAGAGCCATATCATCCACATAGCTAATAATCATATCACTATAGATGAGTCTTTATCAGATCCGAGGCAATTTTGAAGAAATAAATGGCCAAAACTGTATCGGGTCCTCCTTTGTTCTTTCTGATTCAGATTCATGTTTCACTTGAGAGTGATATCATCCCTTTGGGTCACACCATTTCTCTGGAGATGAAACTTCAGTAAGAACTGAGGGGACAAAATCTTTGTTTTCTCTTTTTAACTGCTTGATATTCCAATACTTCAGAGACTCTTCTTTTCTATTCCTTGCAATGCATGCTAATCCGTCTGTGTCATCGCAATTCACATAATTCATCCTGTATTTGTGTGGAACCTGCAATAGAGGTTGAAATAGACAGGACAGGACCATCAAACATGTGTTTTTTTTTTTTGTGTGTGGTGGTAATTCAAATCAGTTTAAGGTTTTTTCTCCACCTGTGACATGTGGTCTTGAAAGCTAAAGAGATTTTTTAAATCTAGGATTGCTTCAAAGGCGGTACCCACCATTGTTTTTCCCATGTGACAAAATTTGGATGAATGTTTAGTTTAGTGACAAATGAAGCTTGACTCTTCTGTATAAGAAGAACAAAGCTATGCCCGCAGTTCTCAACATTTTTCTTCACTGTCTCATAACTCCCGCAATGACCTTTTCTTTCCCTGCAACTCTTTCTCTCTTCTCCTTACTATTTCTGATCGTTGGTTATGTTTTTGTCCGGAAATCGGGTGAAAGAATAAGGAAATGTGAAGGTGGCGACTCGGGCATGCCGGAACCTTCGGGAGCTTTGCCTTTGATCGGCCATCTCCATCTTCTCCGTGGTAAAGATCTCGTCTTTAAGAAATTTGCCGCCATATCTGACAAGCTTGGCCCTATCTTTTCTCTTAAGATAGGGGCTTACAGATTGGTGGTCGTGAGCGATCCAGAAACCGTTAGAGACTGTTTCGCTACCAATGACGTGGTTTTAGCCACCAGGCCGAACATATCCATAGGTCGGTATGTTGGATATAACAATGCAATCCTCGCGTTAGCACCCTATGGAGATTACTGGCGTGAGTTGCGGAAGATCACCACCATCTATCTCTTCTCGAATCATAGGATAGAGATGCTGGGCCACATCCGTTTAAACGAAGTTAATGTGTTTATCAAACACTTGTACACAACTACCGTGGATAGAGGTAGTTCCCTGGTCAGGATGGACACGTTATTGGAGTTCATGACGTTCAATATAATCCTTAGGACAGTGGCTGGGAAGAGGATCGAGTATGGGGAAATGGGATGCGAGGAATGGCGTTATAAGAAGGCGATACAACAGACAGAGTACTTATGGGGCGTTTTCATGGTAGGTGATGCTATCCCGTGGCTAGAATGGATGGATTTTGCTAAAGTATCTCTTATGAAGAAAACCGCTAAGGAGCTCGACGGTGTCATCTCGAAGTGGCTCGAAGAACATCTCGAGAAAAGATTGAGGAACGGAAACGATGAGGAAAGTCTTGATCAAGAGAAGACTATCATGGATCTATTGCTCGATGTCTTGCCCGAGGATGTTCTAATGTCTGGCCACACCCGTGATATCATTGTCAAGTCAACTGCTTTGGTAAGCATTTCCACAACGCACTGATTTGATGTTGTTCCTCTTTTGCTTGCCAGCCTCTAATCCTTCGTGATATGTTGCAGATTCTTACATTAACAGGTTCAGACAGTGCATACATCACTCTGATATGGACAGTATCCTTGTTGCTGAACAACCCGAGTGTTTTAAAAGCCGCTCAAGATGAAATCGACGTTATCGTCGGAAAAGGAAGATGGGTCGAAGAATCTGACATTAGAAACCTCAAGTTCTTACAAGCCATCGTCAAGGAAACTCACCGGCTTTACCCACCTGCTCCTCTTACAGGTAACAAATCCCAAAACCCTAATAAAAAAACCTCAAACTTGTAGCGATCGATCATGGCTATTGATGATTCTTGATGGACAGGGATCCGAGAAGCTAGCGAGGATTGTTACGTGGGTGGATACCGTGTAACCAAAGGTACCCGTCTGCTCGTAAACATCTGGAAACTTCACCGGGATCCCAAGATTTGGCCGGAGCCTGAAACGTTCAGACCGGAGAGGTTTATGGAGGAGAAACCGAAATGCGAGCAGAGCGGATACGGGTACATGCCCTTCGGCCTGGGTAGAAGGTCGTGCCCGGGCATGAATCTCGGGTTAAGAGTGGTTTACTTGGTGCTTGCTCGGTTGCTTCAGGGCTTTGAGGTGAGGAGGGACTCGGTCGAGCCGTTGGGTATGGCTGAAGGACCTGGCCTTGCTCTGACAAAAGTGGAACCGGTAGAAATCTCGGTTATGCCGCGTCTTGAACCGGAGCTGTACCGGCTCACTTAAACCGGTCATTTGCTGTATTATCTTCTGCCCTTTGCGTTACAAATAAGAAAGATCTTTGTCTCTGTAATTTCAGTTCCTGAGGAACCAAACCCAAAAGGTCCAACCCTCGTTTCATTTCGTTTTTAATTTTCCGCTTTCACTTCTGTCCCCTGGTAAAGCTTCTGGGTTTGTTGTCCGATTATGTTCGCTTTTGCCAGAAACCTTGAAAGATTAGGGTTTTGTCCGATACCATATATTACGGATAGATGTGGAACAAGTGGACGATGGATCCAATTTAACCTAAAAGGAAATCAAATCAGGCCAATCATTCATTTCCTTTTTCGATTTTTTTTATAAAAAAATTAGTGACGTTGAAAGAAGCTTGTGTCATCGCAATTTCTTTTGATTAGCCAACCACCCTCTCCAAACTTGCGGACCAAATAAAAAATCATTGCAAATCTATTAAAATAATAAAAAAGGGTATGGGACCCACATTGAGAGAGTCTGTAAATGCAAATTAATATCGTCCACATAGCTTAATCTTTTATTGAATCCCAAACAATTTTGGTGAAACAAATGGCCAAAACAGTGTTGGGTCATCTTCTTTTTTTTTTTTTTTCTTATCAAGTATTATTTTTTTCCTGATTCAGAGTTTTCATTCATTATGGGTGAGCCCGCACTTAGCCCGAGGGTTTCGAGTTCGGATCCGGACGGGACCTATTTTTTTCGAACCTAAATAACCAAACTTAAAACTAGGGTGGTCATTTCCGTTTTCCATTCGTGTTCAATTCGGTTCAATTATCAGTTATAGAAAATCTTTTAACTAGTCGGTTTTATTCGATTCCAATTTTTATAAAGAAATTTTTAGATATTTTAAAAACAATAGTTTTTCATGATTTTTTAAATTCGGTTCGATTCGAGATTTTTTAGAAAATATCGTTCAAAAATTTTAGACGATTCAGTTCGAATTTGAAAAATTCGGTTTTTTTTTTTAAAATAATCATTAGAATCGTGGGCACCGCTAACTTAAATGGCTAAAGAAACCTCTGACAACTAGCTCTTGACCAAACAGTCTTAAAGAAATTCAAAAAATTATAGCAAGAAATTGAGAACGAATCTCTGTAACATATATATTTTTTAATTTCTTGTTTCTGTTTGACGGATATTAAAGATAGAAGACGGTATTTACAATCCATCATTACAACTATTTATACAATATTTTATTATACCTATCTAGATTTTTATATAAAATCTTATAAAAATTAGGTAATGAGAAAATTAAATTTGATCCATTAAAATAAACATTAACCCAAAATCAAATTTAATTCAACAAACTTGTAATAGAGGTCGAGTAGACAGGTCGGCATCATTGGAACATGATTTTTTTTTTTCTGGATGTACTTCATTGCATTGTAATCGATTTCTCTCCACAAAATATATGTGATCTTGAAAAACGAAAGAGATTTCACATTTGCATGAAAAAAAAATTACTGAGATCCCCATGGCATAAAAATGAAGTGAATAGTTTTTGCATGAAATTAATTTAGAGATGGATTATCATATTTAGTGAATAATTTTTGTATGGAAAATCTAAATATTTTGCATGAAAACTCACCACAGTAAGTAAGACGTCATATTTAGCGAATAATTTTTGGACCGCTGCACCATTACCAGAAAAAAAAAAAAACAATTGGACCGCCTGTTTGGTGATAAGTGAAGCTTGAGTCTTCTACATAAGAACAAAGCTATTGCCCACTTCTCTCAAAGACATTTCCTTTTCGCAATGAATTTTTCTTTCCCTGCAGCTCTTTCTCTCTTCTTCTCCCTGGTGTTTCTAATCATCGGTTACGTTTTCGTCAAGAAATCGGGCGAAAGAAGAAGGAAATGTGAAGGTGGCGACTCGGGCATGCCGGAACCTTCGGGAGCTTTGCCCTTGATCGGCCATCTCCATCTTCTCCGCGGTAAAGATCTCGTCTTTAAGAAATTTGCCGCCATGTCCGATAAGCTCGGCCCTATCTTCTCTCTTAAGATAGGGACTTACAGATTGGTGGTCGTGAGCGATTCAGAAACAGTTAGGGACTGTTTCACGGCTAGTGACCAGGTTTTAGCCAACAGACCGAACATATCCTTGGGCCGTTATGTCGGATATAACAACGCGATCCTCGCTCTAGCGCCCTATGGAGACTACTGGCGTGAGCTGCGGAAGATCACCACCATCCATCTCTTCTCCAATCATCGGATAGAGATGCTCGGCCATGTCCGTTTATCCGAAGTGAGCGCGTTTATCAAACACTTGTACACTACTACTATGGAGAGAGGCAGCTCCATGGTCGGGATGGACACGTTATTGGAGTTCATGACGTTTAATATAATCCTTAGGACTGTGGTCGGGAAGAGGATTGAGTATGGGGAAGTGGAACGTGAGGAATGGCGATATAAGAAAGCGATAAAGCAGATGGAGCACTTGGCTGGTATTTTCATGGTGGGAGATGCTATTCCATTGCTAGAATGGTTGGATTTTGCTAACGTATCTTCCATGAAGAACACTGCAAAAGAGCTCGATGCGGTGATCTCGAAGTGGCTCCAAGAACATCTCGAGGAAAGATCGGGAAATGGAAACGATGAGATAGGTCTTGACCAGGACAAGACTGTCATGGATCTACTGATCGATGTCTTGCCTGAGGATGTTGTAATGTCTGGCCACACTCGTGACACCATTGTCAAGGCAACTACTTTGGTAAACTAAGCTCTTTTCATTGATAATTGTTCATCCTTGCTTATCAGTTTGAAGGTGGCGGCAGACAATAATTCAGCATCTAACCATTCTTGATATGTTGCAGATCCTTACATTAACAGGTTCAGACAGCACATTCATTACTCTGATATGGGCAGTGTCCTTATTACTAAACAACCCGAGCGTTTTGAAAACCGCGCAAGATGAGATGGATGATATCGTCGGAAAAGGAAGATGGGTCGAAGAATCCGACATAAGAAACCTCAAGTTCTTACAAGCCATCATCAAGGAAACTCACCGGCTTTACCCACCTGCTCCTCTTACAGGTAACATATCCGAAACCCTAATCGAAAAACCTCAAACTCAATCGATCATGGTGTTGGATTCTTGACGAACAGGGATCAGAGAAGCTAGCGAGGATTGTTACGTGGGTGGATACCGTATAAGCAAAGGCACCCGTCTACTCATAAACTTATGGAAACTTCACCGGGATCCCAAGATTTGGCAAGAGCCTGAAGTTTTCAGACCAGAGAGGTTTATGGTGGAGGAGACGAAGGGATGGGACAAGAGTGGTTACGAGTACATTCCCTTCAGTTCGGGGCGGAGGTCGTGTCCGGGCATGAACCTTGGCCTACGAGTCGTTTACTTGGTGCTTGCTAGGTTGCTTCAGGGCTTTGAGCTACGGAGAGTTTCAGATGAACCACTGGACATGGCCGAAGGGCCTGGTCTTGCTCTGCCTAAAGTTGAACCGATTGAAGTTTCGGTTATGCCCCGTCTTGAACCGGATCTGTACTAGGTTATCTGAACCGATCTTTTGCTATATTATCTTCTGCCTTTTGCGTGACAAATAAGAAAGATCTTTGTATGTATGTATATATTACCGAGTAACGATGTATCAAAAAAAAATATATATTACCGAGTAACGTTAGATTCGTAGAAAAATAAGGTATTTGGAAAAAAAAAACATGATTGAATCTTGATTCGAACCCTACTCAGCTCTCGCCTCCTCTCACCTTTGCAACTCGTGTCCGGCCAGGACTCGGGTTTTTTGCCGGCAAATGACCCAACCTCGTACTCGCTGGTCATCGGGCGGGCGGGCCCTAACAAAAAAGGGCTCAACCTTTTAATTCTTGTGCTCAGAATTCGTCTGTTTTCACGGGCAGAACCGCTTTAGCCACCAGGC